CAATGGCGTCTACTTGCTCCAGGAACACAAAGAACCTTAAACCGTTCGTTCAGTGTCTTGATGAAGAAGTCTGACCATCTCGTAGGTGGGCGGCCACACAAGCTTTTGACATCTCGTGGAATCCAGTTGGCAATGGCTCTAGTTCAGTGGTCGTCTCCAAATTACGTGGACAAATTATGTGTCCAGCCCATCTGATTTTCAACACCTTGGCAAATGAGACAGCATCCCTGATTCTTGATTGTGGACAGAGGTCGGAACTCCAGATTCTTTCTTTCACTTGAGTGAAGCATGATGCTCCAAGCATAGCTCTTTTGATTACTCTTTGGGAGACCCGAATGACATCCTCATCCTGTTTTTGTAGGGCCAAGATCTCTGAGGCATATGTTAATGCAGGAAGAACAGTGGAATCGAGGAGATGTGCCTGGAGCTGGAGGTTCTTTGTCCTCTTAGTTATTTCTTTGACGCTCTTGAAGGCATTCCATGTCACTTTCTTCCTCCTGCACAACTCAGGTGCCAGGTCATTCATCATGTTGACTTCTCGACCTAGGTACACATAACTGTTGCGATTGGAGATGTTCGTTCCGTTGAGAGTGAATGGAACATCAGGAATGAATCCGTTTCACATAAACATTGTCTTCGTGAGATTCAGCTGTAGTCCGACCTTTCCACACTCATGGTCGAAGTCGGCCAACATTTGTGCCACTTGGCTAATGTTTGGTGTTATTAGAATGATGTCATCAGTGAAGCGGAGGTGGCATGGTTGCCAACCATCTATCTTCACTCCCATTCCTTCCCATTCCAGTCATTGCATGACGTTCTCGAGGGTGGCACTGAAGGGTTTCAGTGAAATGGTATCACCCTGCCTAACTCCTCTTTTGACATGAATGATCACTTCCTTGTAGAATGGTGAGATCCTGGTAGTGAATTTGTAATACAGCTCACGGAGAATCCTGATGTATTGAGTTTGAATGCCCTGTTTGGCTAGGGCTTCGATGACCACTTCAGTCTCAACAGAATCAAAGGCCTTCTTTAAATCAATGAACGTTAGACAGAGCGGCATCTTGAACTCCCGAGAAACCTCAATGAGCTTGGTTACCATGTGGATATGGTTGATCCTGCTGAATCCTTTTTGGAACCCAGCTTGCTCGCATGGTTGTCCTTCATCTAGTGCTCTGCAAATCCTATTCAGGATGACTCAAGTGAACAGCTTGTAGATGACAGACAGCAGGCAGATAGGGTGATAGTTGCCAATGTCATGGATGTCTCCTTTCTTGTACAGTAGTACAGTCCTGCTGTTTTTCCACTGGGACAGAACCTTGCATTCAGACAGGTAGCATGTGAAGAGCCAAGCCAGTGTATTGATGAGTACTGATGGCAGGTTCTTCAGGTGTTAGAATCTAACCTTGTCTGGGCTGGGTGCTGTTCATTTCTTCACTGATGAGATGGCATGTCGAATTTCGGAAGGAAGAACGTTGGGAACAACATATCAATCCTGCGGATTTTGGTATGTGGGCGGGTGGACGTGGCTATAGAAGAGATTCGAGTAGAAGTCATGGATAATCTTCTCCATTGCCCTTCTGGAAGATGTGATAGATCCATCAGGATGTCGGAGGACAGTCATCTTGGTCTTGTAGTTGGCAAAGGACAGGTGGGCATTGCGAATGCTTTTCCCGGCTTCTACCGCATCTGCCAGCACTGCTGCTCTTCTCTCTTTGAGGGCTTCCCACCCCCAGTGTCAATTTCCCTCCACCAGTGTTCCCATATTCCCTCCCTACCCCAACCCCTACCCAATTCCCACTGTCAATGTGGCTGGCACATTATAAAGTTTCAGTGGTTGCAGGTTAGATCTCATGTTTTCACTTATGTTGAGTCTGTGTTTTGGGTATATGGCCATACCACTCTCCCATATCATCAGTGTAACTGAAGCCCTGATGCCTATTCACCCATTACTTCCCATTCTCTTCTTCCCCCTTTGATTTCTTTTCCTTCTTTGTCCTTCTCCTATCTGAACACTGGGGTCAAGAGTGATCGAGGTATCCTCCTTTTACTACAGTACATTTCCTGATCCAGTATTCTATATACTACAGATAAGTGAGATCATCCTATTTGTCTTTCTTCTTTTGGCTTACTACACTCAGTATGGTATCTTCCAGTTCCAACCACATTGCAACAAACTATGATTTCATCTTTCCTTGTAGCTGCATAATATTCCATTTTATATATATACCACATCTTCATAACCCATTCATCTATCATTGATCACCTAGGTTGGTTCCCTATCTTAGCTATTACAGTTTTTTTCCTCTTGTTGTCATTGTTTTTGAGTTTTTGGACCACAAAGGCAGCACTCAGGACTTACTCCAGGATCTGTGCCAGGAGCACTCCTGGTGGTGTTCAGAAGATCATATATGGGCGGTGGGAACTGAACTGGATAAGCCATATGCTAGTTAAGTGCCTTAATCCCTGTACAATCTCTCAGTACCTGCTTCTGTAGTTTTTGATGTGTCCAACTGATAAAAACAAAACAAAAGATGAATTTTCCAGGCACTCTTCTGTTTAATCACTATAACTGACTAAACTAATGGTTTACAGGGATTTAAAAACTATGTTACTTATCATCATTATTTATGTTGCATTGTATCTTAGAATTGTGAAGAATATGTATTCTTCTATATTTAAGATTGTAATTATCTCAGAAATTGGACTGTTGATTTTTAAATGAGCTGAATAGGAACAGGAGGAAGAACTGGTAGTGACAGTTTAAGTCAAGGAATTGAAAGAATGGCTATATCTGGGGCAGGGGAACTACCTGGGACTCTAGTTTGGTGCTGGCACTAAAACCTTTGCCATCTTTTGGGCAACCAGGCAGCTCGTGAAGCCAAAGTTTCTTCCTCTATTAAAGCAGACTGGAGATAGTGGTATTCTTTCTCTTAATTATGAGGGAAAACAATCTATGGCAAAAACAGGGGTTTAATCCTGTCTTAAAAATAGATGCCCCAGCTTTAGAGAGCTAATGCATGAATCACAGATCATGGTAAGTAGAAGGGACTACAAGGAGAAATGCAAAGCAGAAGACTTACACGGACTGAAGGAGGGTGGGACCAAATTCTTAGCCAAAGATTATTTTTGGAAAAACCACCTGCCTTAGGGGGAGGGTGTGTGAGACTTGCTCACAGGTGCAAAGAGGAGAATTCAAGACTTATTGGTTTAATATTACAGCCCTGGTAGAGGCTGAAACTGCTCTTTTGTAGGTCTTAAGGTTGGGTATAGCTGGAAGAATACCTCCACATAGGGAGGTATTTTGGAATAGAATACCTCCATTCTATTATTTTTTCCAACTACCACAGCATTGTGTAAGATTTCTAGGGTCAATATTCCACCTTGTGGTGTGGGCCTGGTTTTTCAGAGCTTGGATGATTATGTGGCTCTGCTCTGGTCCAAAAGTGCTGAGGGAAAGGAGAAATATGGACTTAGGATGGGGAATAAGCAATGGGCAGAGGTGCTTAGCCCAGAGGATATAAGGCACATGCTCCAGCCCTTTGAGCTATCTCCCTACTGCTCTCCCCATGAACTCTTATCTGTTTTCAGCATTACATGGCAGACAGGCAATCAGTATTTGTCGAATGAATGTTCTGGCCAGAGTTATGTTAACTTTATAGGTATAATGACAAGGTCGGTAAACAAAGCATTCACAACAGTTACGGGCTCTTCTTATAGTTGGATAATATGAGACAAATAAACCTAACCAGAGAAGCTTGGGTCAGTTTTTGTTTCAATTCATCAGGCATTCCATCTGTCTCCTTTAATCAATGCATTCCTTCCCTTTAAGCTGGCAAGTTCTTGTGAGGTATGCATCCAGCAGCTTACAAAAAGTTCTGAGGAGGGTGGGAGAGTCAGTATAGGGATAAGGCACTGGTCTTGCTCAGCATAGATCTGGGTTAAATCCCCAGGAATGCATGTGGTCCTCCGAGCACTGCCAGGGTTGCCCTCCACCTGGCCCCCACCACCAAGCTGAGTGTACATCTATCATTTTCTAAGGAAACCACTTAGAATCTTGTTTAAAGCTAAAAAATTAATTGCAAAAACCAATTAATGTATCTCCGGTTGGGCCAAATAACTGATCATGGATTTGCTAGGCCAGTTACCAAGGATCTCTAACTAGTACTGAACTGAAGATAGAACAGAGTTCTACAAAGAAAAGGAACTCTAGAGGCATTTGCATGGAGCAGAGAAGAGCAGTCTCCCAGAGGGTCTAAGGCAAAGGTTACCAAGGTCTTAGCTTCTCAGCTCCTCCCCTCACTTGGAGTCTCCCCCACTTGTTAGCAACGGTTTTTGTAAGAACTCAGCTCTGGTCAATCCCTACATTTAAAAAATCTGGATCTGCGAAGGTGAGTCCAACACCTTCCTTCCACAAGCTGCAAGAAACGAACTTGGAAGAACGCAGAATTTGAAAGGATCACCAGACTTTTGCTCTACTGCTGCCTTGCGGCTTCTCTGCTCCGTGTGTGTGTGTGCACGCACGCGCGCGTGTGTATGTGTTTGTTTGTGTGTGTGTGTGTGTGTGTGTGTGTGTGTGAGAAACTCAGACTTATACATTCTCACGAACCTGGATCCCATCCACCTGACCGGGGTTCACAGTTGACTAAGAAGGACCCCCTTAGGAGCACTCTTCTCTTCCACCCTTGGAAGCCTGCTACAGAGAACCCACCCCAACATTTGCATCCTCCAGCTCTGGCCACCTGGGTTCCCTTTTCGGGGAAAGCGGGTCATTTATCAATGGCAGGGCGGACCCAGGAGGCCTCCGATAACCCTGCCAGAGCGAGAAGGCAAGGGGCACCAGCTGGAACCGGCCGATCGGCCCTGGGGGGGGGGGGGGGGAAACCCCACGTGGCCACGCCCCCGAGCGTGTGGGCGGGGCCAGAGCCCATCGGGGCCCCGCCCCTCCGGTCCGGCGGCGCCAGCGGGCGGAAGTGACGCGCGCCCAAAGCCATTTCCGGCGGGTCGAAACTAGGAAGAAACTTGGGAGCTGCCCAGGCGCCCCTGGCTTGCCCGTCGCCGCTGCCCGAGTGCCCCGTGGCCCCGGGGCCGCGCCGAGCTGCCGGGAGCCGTGGCCATGGGGCGGGCCGGGGTTTCCTCCGCGTGAGGCTTGCGGGGCCTCCCCGGGGGCCGGCGGGGGGTGTCGGGGCCGGACGCCGCCGCCGCCGCCGCCGCCGCCGCCGCGGGCCCCGGCCCTCGGCATCATGAACATAGACGTGGAGTTCCACATCCGCCACAACTACCCGTGGAGCAAGTTGCCGGCCAACGTGCGGCAGGTACGGGGGGCCCGGGGTCGCCTGCCCCGCTCCGCGGGGGAGTGACGGGCGCCGCGGCCGACCCCGCCAGCTCCCACGCACGCCTCCCCGGGGCGCGCCCCGGTCCGAGCCCGGCGAGAGCCTCGGGGACGCGGAGGCCGGCGGAGGGCAGGCAGGGAAGAGGGATGCTGCGGGGCGACGGGGAGAAGGAGCATCTCGGGGGCGCTCGGGCGCGGGGGAGCCAGGCTTCGGAGCCTTGCCCTCCCCAGAGCGTGGGCAGGAGGGGGGCTGCCTGCGGAGGGGAGCCCCGCGGAGGCCACCGCCCGGCTCGGGCCTCTCTGAAGGTGCTGAGCCAACTTTTTTTTTTTCCCTCGTCCTGAACTTTGTCCCGCCACTGAGATGCAGTGATTGTTTCAAAGAGAGAGGTTTGGGAACGGGAGAGTGTGCCGGGACGGCTTGCCAGTTTCCATCCGCGGATGCTCGAGGGTCCTGTTTCCGCATCCTTAGGGAGGGTTGGGTGGTCCGAGGCGGTGAAGACCCGGACGGGGGCGCGCGCACGTTGCAGTGGACAGACCTCCTTTGCAGGCGAGAGGCCTGGGGACGCCCCCGCGTCCCGGTGGAGGCGAGAGGCGTTCCTGTTCCTCCCTTTCTCCCGAGGGTGACCGGGAAGCTGCTTTCCAAGAAGTGTTTGGAAAAGTGTGCGCCGGTGGGTGTGTTGAATGACTTCCACCTCCTTTACCCAGTTTGGGGGCTTCCTTCTAGGACATGGATAATTTGATGTTCTGGTAAAGACATCGCGTGTCGTGGCAGAGAAGATGTACAGTTGTGGGTCTGTAATTACCAAGCCAAGAGAGTCGAAGGAAACTTAAGAAACGTAGAATTCTTGGATGTCAGTGGCTTTCGGACATTTACCTTGGCCCGAGAAAACATTAAGCTCTTTAAACTGGTAAGAGAGAGAGTTTCCCTTGTTGAATGAGGACTTGGGCAGACACTTCTGTCCTTTCGTCACTTGTCCTAAAACCCTTGGAGCAGCTACCAGGTGTATTCTTTGCAAAGGTTTGTTCCCTACTCTTCTTTTCATGAAAGGGGTGTGCCATATTGGGAGACAGATGGAGGATTCTCTGGCGCTGGCATAAATAGTTGGGCTTACTTTTTGCAGAAGTTTTTCAAGCCTATGACTGTGATCTATGACCACAAGTCAGTGTTACTGATTTATTATCAATGCAAATATGACAGTGACAGTTCTTATTTTGTGGGGTTAGATTTAAAAGAATGGCTTGGGATAAACTCTTATGCTGAGAAGGTATTGCAAACCCCCTTTTACAAGTTACTGTTGTGGACTTGGTCTGGTCTTGCCGCTTGAATTTAGTAAATCAAGCTCCTTATTGGTTACTGCGTCAGTTTTCTCTGATCTCATTCCTCAGGGTAAAGCCCTCTTTTTTTTTTTACCTTTTTTTTTTTATTCTCTCTCACTTTTGGACCACATTTAGTGGTGTGTTTGGGGCTTACTCCTTGCCCTAGGAATCACTCTCGGCGGTCCTAAATGGATCATATCTGGTGCCAGGAGTTAAATAGAGCTTGCCAGCATGCAAGGCAAGTGCTTTTACCCCCAGCACTAGCGCTCATCCATTTTTCACACTAGGATAAGGGTTCTAAAATGCATGCTCAATCCTGTCACTACCACTTACAGAGTACTTGTACCTTTCTTTTTTGTATCTCAGGAACTCCTCCAGGAAGGGTTTCTTTGCTCTCAATCTAAATCTGGAGCACTTGACCTTGGGCTGGGTTGTCATTGTGTGTTCTCCTCATGGCACCGACCTCACTGTGTTTTGGTACATTTTCTGGTTGCGTTACTTTGCTTTGCTTTTGTATCTTGAGTTCCTGACCCATAGTCTTTAGTGGTCCATTTTGAAGTGAATGAATGATCATGCCAGCCTGAATTTTTTCCCCAGGTCAGCTGAAATTCAGTTTCAGTGCGGGAAATATTCCTTGTATGGAAGGGATTTGTCTTTATTCACTATAGCTACTAGGACTGAGATAGATTTTCCAGTAAGTTTTGATGATGAGTTTAATTTGAAAATCTCAAAACCTGCCATTTTTTTTCAATTCTGAGAGCTAGGGGATGGTGACTCCAGTTGAAAAAAAATTCATGCCAGTAATTTTGATACTGGCCTGATGAGGTTAAATGGTTTTTGTGTGATACAGGTTATGTTGACAAAATAAATTTAGAGATTATGGATGGGCACTCTCACCCAGCTCTGCTGGGGGGATGATTCCTAGTGATCCCTGGTACCCAAGTGCCTGAGCATTTTTGCCTTGTATGACCCTATGCTTGAACTTTCTGGCCTGATGGCTTAATAATGCTGGGAGTGGCCGCATAGTGACCCTATGAGCACTGCTTGGGAGATCCTTCCTCCTCCCCTCCCCAGGGAGGAAAAACAGTTATGGATAGAGCCATTATTTCAAGATATTTTTGAAGTTGTTGATCACTTCCCTTTATTAAAACCAGTCATACGTTATTTTAGGTTTTATGATGAATATGATCCAGATAATTAAAAACGTGTGTATTAGGGTACAGGAATGCATGTTGTATTTGGACTTATTTATTTATTTATTTGCTTTTTGGGTCACACCCGGAGATGCTCAGGAGTTACTCCTGGCTCATACACTCAGGAATTACTCCTGGCAGTGCTCGGGGGACCATATGGGATGCTGGGAATCGAACCTGGGTCAGCCATGTTGGCTGCGAGCAAGGCAAACACCCTACCCGCTGTACTATCGCTCCAGCCCCGTATTTCGGGTTTAAAGAAGCAGTGACTTCAGAAAAAAACTTCTTTGTGCTTTCAGTATAGTCTGATGTGCAGTGGCTATTTTTCCTCCACTTGTTCGTAATACTTTATCAGTTACTGTTCTGTTTGAAACTTGTCTTCATTTGTCCGCCCTGCCTCAGCAAATTGAGCTCTTCAGTGGCCTTCTGTGTGAAAATGGCATTGGTGAGAGGACTTTGGGATAGGCGTGGGAGAAGGAATCTTTGTGAACATAGTCAGTGATACTTTATTAAATATGTAAGTAGTAAGAATAAAATGAATCTCTAATGTGTATATATATATACACTTATATATGTACCATATATTGATTGATTAGATCCAGTTATTAATTTTTTAAAATTAAATTGCAGTTACAAAGTTATTCATAATTGGGTTTCGTCATGTAATGTTCCAATACATCTCTTCATCAGTGTACATTTCTACCAATGGTCCTAGTACTCCCATCCCCCTGCCTTTATGGCAGGCACTTCTCTCTCTCTCTCTCTCTCTCTCTCTCTCTCTCTCTCTCTCTCTCCCTACCTCTCTGTCTCTCTGTCTCTCTGTCTCTCGCTCTCGCTCTCGCTCTCTTGCTCGTGTTCTCTCCTTTGTGCCTTATTGGTTTGCAACACAGATAATGGAAGGTTATCAGGTATATCTTTTACCTGCTTTCAACAGATTCAGTTACTAATGCCTACCAAGTGCTTAGATGTTTGGTTATTGTAGTCTTAAATTTGCTTATGAATGAGGAACCCAATATTTTGTATAAGCGGTTTGATTTTTACTTTTGTTTGTGGGCCACATCTAGTTGTGCATAGGGTTACTCCCTACTTTGTGCTCATGGATGCTCCCTGCAGAGCTTTGAGGTCCATGAAGTACCAAGGATCGGACTGGGACTTCCCAGCATATAGAGCCTGCACTCAGTGTGTAGCTGTCGCTCCAGTCCCATAGTTATGAATTTTTATGGGTTAGAATAACTACTGTTGAATTTAGAAGCAATTTTAATTTTTTTTTTCCTTTAGAGTCTTGGAAATTCACAGAGAGAATATGAAAAGCAGGTTGTCCTGTATAGTATCCGCAATCAATTACGATATAGGAATAACTTAGGTAAGTAGAAACATTTTGCATTGATATGGAAATAACCATTGCTGATTTATTCATAAGCCCATCCTGTTTTTTCAATACAAGTTTCATATTTATCCCATGGATGGCATTTTAGAAATGGTGCTGACCATCCACCTAGAAAATTTTTACTTTGACTAACAGGTTTATTTCTGATTGAAAATTACTTTTAGGGAGTTCCTTAAGGTAAAGGTAAGGTAAAGGCCCTCCCGTTGATCATCGATTTGCTCGAGCGGGCCCAGTAACGTCTCCATTGGAGACTTTGTTGTTACTGTGTCTGGCATATCGAATACTCTCGGTAGCTTACCGGGCTCTCCGAGAGGGGCGGAGGAATCGAACTCGGGTCGGCCATGTTGGCCGCATGCAAGGCAAATGCCCTACCCGCTGTGCTATCGCTCCAGCGAGGGGGTTCCTTACAGTTTTGTTTTATTTTTAGAGCTTTAATTTTGTTTTAAATATCCTCTTTAACATAGTATGGGAACAAGTGACCAAAAGCATTGAAACTGAAGATTTTATCTCTAGAACTTAACTTTCTTGGGAGCGGAGAGGGCGGGACTTCCAGTGTCTCTGGGGATGGGTATGATGGAAAGTGATTAAAAATATTGTAAATCACGATGCCTTAATAAAAATGATGAAGGGGGGGGGCAATCCTTTTTGTTTTAAGTTTTTAAGTAGGAGAATATGCCAGAAAAGTGCATTGAGGGGTTTTTTTTTTTTAAATCTTCTTTTTCCTTTGTTTTGTGGTTGTGATCACTGGGTCACTGGGTGCTCACATATCTAGTTGTAATGTTTGCAGTTGTGCTTGTTAGGAGTCTCGTTCTTGAATTTGGATCTCTGTACACTCTGGATGGAGTGCTCCTGAGATTGCACATCACTCCAGCCATGTGCTGAAGATTGCATATGCTCTCTGGCGCTGGGGGTCTCAAGCAGCAGAGCTACCAGGACTGTAGATGTCCCCAGGGATCAAACTCAGCACCTCACACTTGGGTGGCAGACCCTTTTGTCACAGAATAATCCCCAGCTCCCATACTTCATTAATTATCAATTTACTTTGATCTTGTTCCCATCACTTTTCCAAATAATGTAACTTGAATGAAAACTATTTTAATTTTTTAAAAATTGAGTCAATGTGAGACAAAGTTGTTCATGATTGGAACTGTCATACAATGTTCCAATACCAGTCCCTTCTCCAGTTGTATACTATTTCTATAATAAAAAATATATTTGGTTCCAGGATTTAATTTTTTCTTTTATCCCCCACCCCCGTTTTTAAAATAGGGGTCAGAGGCACTTAGGGAATTAGGGGCTGTTCCTATCAATGCTCAGTCAGAAGTGTGGTCCTGCCAGTTCAGTGTTTGGATGGCACTGCTGTGCTTGTCCTAGTGATGCTGGCGGTCACTAAGGCCACACCTGGCAGTACTAGAGAGCAGGGAAATCAGTGCCGCATCAAGCATAGTCCTTGCATTTCCACTCCTTTGAGCCATGTTCCTGGCTCTTCTCACCTCTTTATTCAGTGTTTGCTTTTTATTTCTCAAATTAAATTATCCATTGCCCTATTAACTATTGTGTTACTCTTATTTTAAACAGAGTAGTTCAGAGATGGTTTTTCTGTTTAAAGGCACTCAATGGAAATCAAGTTCTTATATGTTTAAAAAACAAAAATGAAATCAGGGATTTGATGAATTGTAGCTTACCATTTTGGTGGACATTTTATGCTTTTTTTGCTTTCTGATTTCTTAAAAATTACTTCTTTTTTGGTCTGTCATTTTATATCTGTTAATTATACACTATATGAAACCTTCTTCTTGTGGTATAATTATTCCACATGTACTTTTAAAGTAACAATGACTTACAAATTTTGCTTATTACATTTATGTGTAACTTACGTGAAAATTTTCCTTTCTTCTAGTTAAACATGTCAAGAAAGATGAACGCAAATACTATGAGGAATTACTAAAGTATAGTCGAGATCATCTCATGCTGTACCCATATCATTTATCAGACATTATGGTAAAGGGCCTGAGGATAACACCATTTTCTTATTATACTGGGATTATGGAGGTGAGTTTGCAGTACATGTAAACCACTAGAAATGGGTGATGACAGCATCAGGGACACTTTTCCCATGATGAACAACTCTGTATCTCTTAGACACAGGGCACATTGTTTCTGCATGTATGATATGAAAAGGACTGTTGGTTGCAACCTGTTTTAGTCACACTTTATCGTGACTGTCATCTTTTTTCTCAGTGGAATATACCTGTCTATTCTATGTTCTTGAAAGCATTGTTGATTCTGCTGTTTTAGCATTACTCAGTCATTTATTTCAGCAGAGTATAAAATTTATTGCTCTTGCTGCATGATTAAAGTTGAAAATGTGTCTTGGACATTAAACTTACAGAAACAGTGCATTCAACTATTGACTAACTGCTGAAGAATAAATGATACCGTAAACTCAGCATTATATAATGTGCCAGGAAAAAATGTTAATAGCCCTAACTGTTAATCTTTTTCTATAATTATTAACTTTTAGGTATTTAGACTTTTTCCAAAAGTAATTTTTAGGTCTGTGTTGGACTTGCAGTGCGAGTTATACACTGTTAGTATATAAGTATGTATAAGTATATAAGCATCACTGTAGCACTGTCCTCCCGTTGTTCATCGATTTGCTCAAGAGGGCCCAGTAATGTCTCCATTTTGAGACTTGTTGTTACTGTATTTGGCATATTGAATACATCATGGGTAGCTTGCCAGGCTTTGCCGTGTGGGCGAGATACTCTCAGTAGCTTGCTGGGCTCTCCGAGAGGGGCGGAGGAATCGAACCCGGCTTGGCCAGGCTGGCTGCGTGCAAGGCAAACGCCCTACCGCTGCGCTATCACTCCAGCCCAAGTATATAAGCATATAAGTATATAAGCAGTATGAGTTATATACTTTGTGTTAAGATCAGCAATATTTATTAGTATTCATTTGTTAATTTTATTTGAATTCTGCTGTGTTGTATTAACTCTTCTCTTTAAGAGTCGAATTGGGAAGCTCCAGTGTCAGAGAGGTTAGGTCCTGTTCCGATATGGGGCATCTTTTAGAAGAGCTCCCTTTGTTTTTCTCCTTCAGTCTCTTTAAGGTTACTTCTCCCATCCTGTTCCTCCTTTTCCCTTATGTTGGGATGCTGCACCCGGGAAAAGCTCAGGTTTCTTTTGCTTCTTTTTCTCTAGACTCAGCATAACGAAGGTGGTATCTAATCTAGTGTTGCCCATAGATTTAGGGGAGATAATAGAGTCAGTTTTGTTCCATTTCTAGCTTTCAGTTATATCCAGGTATGCTGTTAGTTATAGCACCAGAATTGAAAGTGGGCCTCACCAGGAATATTGCTCCATTATTGGAAGTCTGTCTCATGAGCTGGGGGAGAAGGCAGCTGGAATCAAGAGGGTATCACTAAGTCAAGGATGGTTGGAGGAATCATTCGGGATGGGAGATATGTGCTGAAGTAGATAAAGGACCAAACATGATAGCCTCTCATATCCATATTGCAAACCATAATACCCAAAAGTAGGGAGAGAGTATGGGGAACTATGGGCTGCCATAGAGGCAGGAAGAGGGGTGGAATGACGGGGTGTGTATATTGGGGACATTGGTGGTGGAGAATGTGCACTGGTGGAGGGATGAGTGTTTGATTATTGTATGACTGAAACTCAAACATGAGTTCTGTAACTCTGTCTCATGGTGAATCAATAATTAAAAAAAAAGTGGACCTTATCTCCAAAGTAGGCAGTTGATTTATGATTGGACTGATAGATGGGCTTGGAAGAAGCTGAATTCTAAGTGTGACTCTTGCTAATTGGATTAGATGGCACACATAGCTGAAACCTTAGTTGAGCTGCAGGAATGGGAAGCAGATGGATGGAACTATGACATTTAATGATGTTCCCTCAGGGTGGGAATCTAGGATCAGATATGAAGTGTGAGCTCTACTGGAGGTGCTCCTTGCATAACTTCCACAGGGCAGAATTACAGAGCAGCTGCCTGGGGTTCATAGAGAGTGCTCTAGGAATCCCACACCTCTCTCTTCGCTTTGGTAACACGGTAGGGATCCTTTCTGATAAGTGCTACAGGGTGGCATGCTTAATTTAGGTCATCAAACTCATATCTCAGTGTTTCATGTAATGACTTGTTACTGTTTAACTGTAATTGTTTTTATTTCATGTGCACTTTTACTAATTTTGCACTTGAAATTCTATTTTCTTTTTAAAAGGACATTATGAACAGTGAGAAAAGTTATGATTCATTGCCCAATTTTACTGCAGCTGACTGTAAGTATTTGGAGAAGTTAATGTTTAGAGTATGTCTTTGTGTGTCTGCATGCCATTGCCTATATAATAATGCCTGCTTTTAATTGGAAACACTTATAAGCTGAGAACAGCAAGCGACATAATAGATGGGACTTGTAGCATAAGGTGATATAAGTTAAGATTTAGTCTAAATGCTTGAGGGATGTTTTGGGGTTGTAGAATGAGAAAATAGTGTACATTTCTGCAGAACAAAGTTCTTTCTAGTACTTGGTCCATATTGTATGTACCAAATGAGGGAAAGAAACTTGTACACAGTATTTTTATAGTGGGAAATATGATTCTTAGTAACTAAGTTATGGAGTTTTATTATGCTTAATTTAATGAAGTGTATAATAATAGTAACGTAGTTCTTTAGCATAAGAAGAAACTTGGCAGGACTTTTTTTGATTCTTGTTTGTTTTATTGGGTGACACGTGGGAGTACTCAGGAGCTGCCCCTGACTTGGTGCTCAGGGGCTGCTCCTGATGTGCTGGGAATCCCACCCGGCCCCTGCAATATTAGGTATGTGCTCCAGCCAGTTGAACTATCAGCCCAGGATTGCATTTGTAAAACATTTAGCATTTTTCAAAAAAATACATTGCTTCCATTTTGGTTTTCTCTTTTCTTTTTTTGAAGAAATCTTTTTAGTTTGGTATTGATCATCAAATGTCAAGAGTTTTCCCCCTGAGACATTTGAAGTGACCTGAAGTGACCTGACATTTCAATATGTATTAGATTTTCTTTAAAGGGAAGGTGTTTTTTTTTTTTCAGGTCTGAGGCTTCTTGGCATAGGAAGAAATCAGTACATTGATCTGATGAATCAGTGTAGATCATCTAAAGTAAGTTAGGATTGTTCCCTTTCTCATTTGTTGTTTTCCTTATTACTCTCCCATTTTCACAAGTAGTGGAATTTCTGTGAATTATCATTTCTTGGATCAGATAAAAGTATGCTTAATACAGAAACAGTGCAAAACTCAGAATATTCTTTGTTGTACCTCAAGTGATTAATCAATGAAACATTAATTCACAAGACATTGAGTTGACTTATTTGGGGGCCACCAATAGTCTACCGGTGATTCAGTGAAAGGGCTTGTGGAGGTGGTCCTACTTGAGCCTTGTGCTGTGGGCCATTACAGGCTCGCCCTGGAGATGCTCAGAGCCTCTAGGCCATACCCAACATGCCTTGTGCCTTTGAGGTTCGGTTTTTTTGTTTGTTTGGGTTTTTTTTTAGATTTTTAGATTTTTATTAGTGAAACACCATGAGGTATAGTTGTAGACTTAGAAGTTTTTGTGCTTGCGTTTCAGTTATACAGTGATAGAGTACCTGTGATTAATTACCTGCGGCCGTGTGAGCATTGGTCGATCCAAAATTAGGCCTCTTCTGCAGAGGCCACACCTCCTGTGGGTGCCTGGTGTGTGTGGGGTACAACCTGAGGGATGGAGACATCAGGCACAGCGTTGGAGACGAACAGGAAGAGGCTCAGGGATGGTGGAAGGCCCAGGGTCCTAGAGGACGCCTAGGGTGCATACGCAGTGAGAGTGACGTCCTGGGTTTGAATAAAGACTCGAGGTTATTTCTGGTGGTGCTTGCTGAACCTACTGGTGCTGGGAATCAAACTGTGGTACTATCTCCCAGCCCCAAGACATTCAGTTTATTTTTAAAATTAATTTTGTCTGCTGATCTTTTTATTTCCTCCTTTCTTTCTCAGGGTTTACTAAATGGGTGAAATTAGTGAATATAATCCAAATGTATTTCACCCTTCAGGTTTTATTTTAGGTTATGAATTTCAGTCCAGATATAATGATTAGTACTTCCTCCCTTTTTGTTGCTTTGTTGTTAACTTACAATATTATACAATTTTAGGGGTACACTTACTACTTCTGTATGTGTGTAGGATTTATTACATCCACTAAGTTTCAGAGTCCACCCCTTGCTCATACTTTCTGCTTATCTTTCTTTTCAGTAACCACCATAGTTTTCACCCAATCTTGGAGTCAGTTTGTTGACTTTTGCCAGTCTGTTTGCTTTAGTTATTATTTGACATACCAGTGAAACCATCTGATGTCTTTCACTTCCTTATTTCATTTACCATAGTCACCTTAAGTGTCATCCATTTGTTTCTCAAGTGGTACAATTTCATTCATCCTCTCTTATTGTCAGGGTAGTATTCCATTAATTGTATATACCACAGCTTATTTATAATGGTCAATTAGTTATTAAATAAGCAATTTATTTCAAAGTAATTTGAGTCTTTTTTTTGTATTCAATACAAGTAGAATACTTCAGGTTTTAAAATTTAAGGGTATAAAAAGGGTCATATTTAACCCAGTGTGAAGAGTCTTGCTATAATAGATTAAAAAATTAAGTTGTAATTTGGGATTGATTGCAAATTCTCAAATATTTGTTCCATTGCAGAAATTTTTCAGAAGGAAAACAGCCCGGGATCTTCTTCCAGTAAAACCAGTGGAAATTGCCATAGAGGCATGGTGGGTGGTACAGTCTGGATATATCACAGAAGATGATATAAAGGTAATTGTCTTTAAACATTAAATTTTTATAGAATTTTAAAAAGTTGTCCAATAATTGTTATAATTCTACAGTTTTGTTTTTAACACTTCATTTTTCTTGAAAATAAAAGTTTAAATGATCTTAGTAGGCTAGAATATTGATGGGTTTTCAAGGTCCTTGTTATAATAGGGGAAATGTGCTTCATGTCTGGGCATTTTGATTAGGTTAAGTTTCACATAAAGGGATCTAGTGTCTTGTCCTTCAACAATATTGAGAATATTGACTGATGCTTTGTTTGACCATACTTGGCCGTGCTCAGGACTTTTTCCTGGCTCTGCACTCAGGGAATCATTCATGGCAGGGCTCCAGGTACCTTACGGGGTGCCAGGATTGAATTGGGTGGACCATGTGCAAGACAAGTGCCCAACTGTCTTGCCAGCCCTGGCTGACAGTTTCTGAGCATGTGCTGTGTGTCAGATGTGGCAGGCACCATTCTTCCAAGTATTTTTGATCATCTGATTCTCACAGCAACTCCACAGTTATTTGTCCTTTGTACCCCATTTCCCATGTGAGGGAAGTGAGCCCCAGGGGAAAAGGGGCACTGGTTCTTTTGGTAGAAGTGGAGGCCATTTGTTCCTAGTCAGCACACCTAGGTGCTATCTTGCCCCAATGGCAGGTTAGTGTCTCCCTCGGGGGACGGGAGATTCTCAGTGGGGAAGCCACATTTGATACGTGCTTGATGTGCTTTAAAAGAGATTTGATTTAAAGCATAAGTTCCCAAATGCACTGGGCCTACTGCCTCCTTTTCAGAAGAAGAAAACACTCTGTAAACCCCTTCTAAGCAAACAGAAAGCACCCCCAAAAGCTCCCAAGGCTGATATGATACATCTGCCCCTCGCCCCTGAAAGTTTTCCAGTGCCTGGTTTAGAGGGTTTAGAGGGAAGGGGTGCGGTAGCAGTTGATGCCCTAAAGGCCAGGTCACACTTCCTGGTGGCTGAAGGAGCAGCAGTCAGCCTGTGGATGTCCCTAGTGCTTGTTATTGGACTCCAGATGACAGAATAAACCTAGTGAATGGAAGGCTGAGAAATTTTGCTTCAGATTAGTGTTTCCTCACTGACCTGTCAAACTCATAAAATAGAGAAATTTTTGTCACTGACAATAATCATGGCAGTTTGAGTGAACTTTTGATTGAGTGATTTAGAACCAACAAGTGGATTAGGTTCCAAGTCAAATGAAATGAGGAAATGGTATTATTAGTGAGTACTTAACCACTTAGCAGCAAGTTTTGGTATTTGTGATATTTATGTTTCAGTTTTTTGTTGGTAGCATGTTTGAGCACCCTAATTATTATGTATGTGGGTTTTTTGGTTTAAGTTACAGAGTGATCAGTGAAGAACATTGGTGACTGTTCAAGTCCTGAAATAATCACTGGTGAATATTAATAAATTTGAAAATACTTACTAGTTTGTACAGAACTTAATTTAGAATATTTTGCTTTCCTTAGATATGTACTTTGCCTGAGAAATGTGCTATCGATAAGATCATCGACTCTGGCCCCCAGCTCGCTGGATCACTAGATTACAATATAGTACATAGTAAGTGGTTAGTAGAAAAGGTCTTTTGTCAAAAATTTGTTTTAGAACATCCACAGGTACTAGCAGTTATTTACCAATTAGGTAAGAATAATCTTATGTAATGCTATTGTTAGAATTTATCCATATGAATCATAAGGATAATTGTGGAATTTGATTTATGTGAGGGAGACTGAGATTTGAAAGCTTGATTGATGTCTTCAGCTTTACTGTTCACATAGCATTGTTATAAGAATTTTTACATAAAATCAGTAGTGACCTTTTTGATTCCTAATGTTTAATAATAAGTAAAACAAGATATTTTTGCTCATAGGTTTGTATAACAAAGGCTTTATCTACCTGGATGTGCCCATATCCGATGACAGCTGTATTGCAGGTGAGGATATGCTGACAGTTTTTAGTAGGTACCAAGGGACTGCTGCTTGCTAAGCACTGCCAATGCATTAGCAGACAACTCCCAAGATTTTTCATATGAGAAAAGCACTTCTTCTTTATAATAGTAGGGTCATTTTGGTGGTTTCCTATTTTCATTTTTACTTAACTTTTTCATTACACTATAAAATAATAGAGAGCTGATATAAAGTTCTCAATCCCAAATATCCAATAGATGAATGAATTTATAAATTGATGTCACCTTTTTGTTATTGTTCAGTGCTTAACAGTGGTTACATATATGTGATAATATGATAGTTTTACGTTGCTCATTTTCATTTAACATGCCTGTCTTTTCTCATGTCACTACTATGTTTTTTTATTTTTTATTCTCCCTACCACCTTTACCTTCCTTTCTAAGTTAAAGATTAAGACTTGTCTTTTCTTCTTTACCTTACTGGATTTATTGATTTGTTAAACTGTATCTCTGTCACTGTTTGTATAGATTATTTCCAGGATTTGTTTTTGTTTTGTTTTGTTTGGCCACACATGACTGTGCTCAGGGTTTAGTCCTGGCTCTGTGCCCAGTGATCACCTCTAGTGGTGCTTGGGGGAAGTATGGTCACGGTCACGGTCCTCCCATTGTTCATCAATTTGCTTGAGCGGGCCCAGTAATGTCCCCATCATGAGACTTGTTGTTACTGTGTTTGGCATATCGAATACGTCACGAGTAGCTTGCCAGGCTCTGCCGTGCGGGCGAGATACTCTCGGTAGCTTGTCGGGCTCTCCGAGAGGGGCGAAGGAATCCAACTCAAGTCGGCCATGTTGGCTGCGTGCAAGGCAAACGCCCTACCAAAACCCAAGTAGGCCTCATGCAAGGCAGGTGTCTTGCTTGCTATACTGTTGTTCCAGCCCCCCTGCAGTTTGCTAGCCATATGAACACAGATTGGAGCTTGCTTCCTTCAAATTCTTGCCTACTATAGAAGCATGTACTATGTTTAGGTTGTGTATTTCAAGTATATTTCCCAGCATATCTTTTGACTGTTTTTTTGTTTGTGACATCATTACCATACTAAAGATACCATATTTGTGTAATTAAATGTGACATGTCTAAAGTTAACTATGAATAGCTCAGTAGTGATAGGACTCATTGTAGAATGTTCCCTTGTCTAATTGTTGAATCTTGTCTGCTATCATGTTCAAGTGTGTCCTGACCTTTGTGTTTAGAAAGTGTAGTGATTCTTTAAAATGCATTTTGAACCCATGCACAAGTCACACATTGCTTTAACTTTAAAAAAAAGAAATCAAAACCAAAAAACAATGAAGATAAAATAGATACTTATCCTAGGTTTATATAGTAGTATTATAGGAAGTTACTTGTAGTTATATTTGAGAGATTTGACAAGGAAATTATTTCTGGGAGACAGATTTTCTGTCAGGTTGGAAACATGAAAGCATAACTCATCACTTAAATTCCTCCTCTCATTTGAAAGAAATGGAGTTGACTAATTTGAGATGCACCAAAAGGAGTAGTAGTGTTGAGTGGACTTCAGTCCATTTGATTGATTGAAGACTGACTCATTAGCACTAAGTTTATTTGAAAGAAGTAGCCAGAGAATGGTCAGGTGGATGTCTTCCTGTTCAGTGATCTCTTGTGCCCTGCTGCCCTTCATGCCTGGCAGTGATTGGGGGTTCAGAGGCTTCCGGTGTTACTACCTCTCTTTGGCTGTTCCTCGACTTGCAGGAACCATGAAATGAAAGCAGTTTGACAATGGGGAAGCCACTAAATTCAGCAGAAATCTGTGACACTGATTCAGATGTGTTTCAACAAAAAACAAGCCCTTTAGGTTGTGAAACAGTGGGTGTGAGTGTTGAGGGTGGATAGTTATGAGAGAATTTGTTGTTAAATAAAAAGTATTCCATCATCAAACTTTAGGTGCACATTTTATGTCTACCCTCAGAGCTTCTAGATTTCTATTATGCTTAAATAGAGTAATACTTCTTGAATAATATTGATAATCCAGGAAATCTTTAAGATTTTTTTTTCTTTTTGAGTCACACCTGGCAGTGCACAGGGGTTACTCCTGGCTCTCCACCCAGGAGTTACCCCTGGCCATGTTTGAGGGACCATATGGGATGCTGGGTATTGAACCTGGATTGGCCGCGTGCAAGGCAAACACCCTACCTGCTGTGGTTTTGCTCCAGCCCCAGTCTTTTAAGATTTTTAGTGTGTATACTCAGTGCTTATATTCAGAAACTTATTTGGAACTTACTGTTATATTTGAAGCAAAAGATTCTCCCCTTCTCCCCACTGCCACCCTCGCCCCGTATTTGTATAACCAAAAGTACTTCAGTAAATGCTAGCTATGTTTTGGGCCGGGGTTGGAGGGGACATACACCCAGTGGTGCTTAGGGTTAACTTGCTCTGCACTTAGGAATCACTCCTGGTGGAATCAGGGAACGATACGGGATGCTGGGGATTGAACCTGGGCGGGCTGTGTGCAAGACAAGCTCCTTACCTATCCGTGCTGTCTCTCACCGCCTCTAGCCCTCTAGCAATGTTTTATGTTTTCTTCATAACACTCTGCTGCTGAATGGAAGTACTTACATCAAGCACTAAAGCCCTTTATATTGGTTCTAATGCTGATAGTCTTCTGCTTCCCATAAGGTAAAGGTAAAGGTAAAGGCCCTCCCGTTGATCGTTGATTTGCTCGAGCGGGCCCAGTAACGTCTCCATTGGAGACTTTGTTGTTACTGTGTTTGGCATATCGAATACTCTCGGTAGCTTGCCGGGCTCTCCGAGAGGGGTGGAGGAATCGAACTCGGGTCGGCCATGTTGGCCGCTTGTAAGGTGAACGCCCTACCCACTGTGCTATCGCTTTAGCACAGCGGTAGGGCGTTTGCCTTGCACGCAGCCAACATGGCCGACCCAAGTTCGATTCCTCCGCCCCTCTCGGAGAGCCCGGCAAGCTACCGAGAGTATCTCGCCCGCACGGCAGAGCCTGGCAAGCTCCCCGTGACATATTCAATATGCCAAACACAGTAACAACAAAGTCTCCAATGGAGACGTTACTGGGCCCGCTTGAGCAAATCTGCTTCCCATATTCGATTTTATTCTTAGACCACATTGTTTCGATCATAGTGGCAGAATAACCTTTAATATGACGAGATAGTCCCTGTGACTTTTTTGGCATTTTCTTAGCTATTTCAGGATCTTTTAAAATATTTATTTCTTAGCTATTTAAAAAAATTTTTTTGTGAACGTAATTAAAATCTCTAAATTTATAGAGATATAATATAAAACTGCATATTTGTTACCCCTGTTCTTAGCTTCCATATTTTTCTCAGCAACTACTGTGTGTAGTTGTTTCTTTCCAGACATTTACTGTACATACAAGCACATTCTTACGTGTATATTTTTACACAGGTGGTGTACTCTACCCACCTTTTATTTTTTTTGACTTAATATTTCGTAGACAATTCCATATTTTCTTTCTGTAGAGTTTGCTCATTGTTTTTGCTAGATGTAAGTGATATATTTCTAGCTTTTTAGTGTTTCAGTTTCTTAATTGCTGTAATGGGAATGCAGTTCTGAACAAGTCACAAGGTGGGAGGACTAAATGCAATTGTAGATGTAAATCACATGGTGTTATCCGACCTTAGTGTTCAGTAAAGGTTTTCTAGTATTCACACAGCTTAGAGTGCCAATAAGAATGAATGGTATCAGAATTTTTGTTTCAAAAACTATTTTAGCTTTGGGCCATATTTGGACCACATGGTATGTGGGATTGAACCTGGGACTTTGCAAGCAGAGCCTGTGTTCTAGTCCTTTGAGCCATCTACCCATATCAAAATATTTTTTAAAAAAAGCATCTGGGGACTGAAGTGATTGTACAGCAGATAGGGCATTTGCCTTGCATATGACTGATGTGGGTTCATTCCTCAGCATCCCATATGGTTCCTGGAGCATCGCTAGGAGTGATTCCTGAGTGCACAGTCAGGAATAACCCCTGAATATTGCCAGGTGTGATCCCCAAAACAAAATATCCCCAGAAAGCCTCTGATTCATAAAAAACAAATTGGATAACCAGAAATATAGTTGGTATTAAATTAAAAAATACATATTTAGATCTGTAAACTGAATAACCTGTGGTAAATGTACATTGTAGATTTTATACACTGCTTTTATTTTTGAGGCGGTCTGAATCCAGCAGTGCTCAGAGCTTACTCTTCACTGCTCAGGGATCACTCCTGGCAGGCTTGGGGGACCTGTGCTATGCTGGGGCTTAAAACTCAGGTTGTCCAGTTCAAGGCAAACACATTAACCTCTGTGCTATCTTTCTGGTCTGCTTTATTTTGATGACTTAAGTTTTGTTGGGGAGCAATTTAAGTTTTACATATAATTAGATGGAAATTAGGGCTAGAGAACATAGAGGTTCTCAAGTTGTGCTGTATCTTACTTAGGCACTTCTCCCAGAATAATTTCAAAGGACATGTACACAAGGAGAATGTCAAAGGGGAAAGCATTAGTGTCCCTTTGATATCAGCTCGGCAGGGTGCTCTAGTAAACTCAGTGTATTGATTGGAGAAGTGAGTATGGATCAGCCTTTTGGTAGAAACAGTGATGGGGCTGCCTCCTTAACTGAGATGGTCTTAACCTTACTTGAGAAGGAGAGAGTCCCAATGGGCAGATTTTCTTAGTGATCGATAAGAAAAGAGGTAGTCACACAAATGGAGGATTTCCCTCTTCCCAGGATGGATTGGGAAGATTGGAGAAAGGCGGAGAGCTATTGGTTTTATCTGGCATCATGACTCAGTTTTAGTCTTTTGCTTTTCTGCTTAGTGCAGTCAACCCTGCTGCCAGTGGGAGGCATTAAAAATTGTCTTTGCACAATTTCCCATTCTGAAGCAGTTCCGGGTCCCTCGACTTTGTACCTAGTTCATGTCTTCCAGCACTTTGTAATGCTTAAGAAATCCGTGGCTTAAAATACTCTTGGTAAGATTTGTGCTGTAATGTCAGTATTTCCTGTGCAGACATGATTGTATAGGGCCTTACTTTGAAAGTTTCAGTAAATGTGAAATAAAGAAAATAAAAATCTGAATTCTCTAAGTTAGAATTTTCTCTTTTGATATGGCTACTTGAATTTTACTTTTTTTTCCTATCACTGAGAAAAGTTTATTTTATTTCAGTTCCTCCTCTCGAAGGCTTTGTAATGAATCGAGTGCAAGGTGATTATTTTGAAACTCTCCTCTATAAGATCTTTGTTTCAATAGATGAACACACTAATGTGGCAGAGGTAAGTATGATCTTGTCTGTGGAAGAATTTAATCTCAAGATTATAAATTTATATAAAATAGGTAAAAATTATTTAGTGATGGTAAATGTTTCAAGTGTATACCTTGGCTGCTTATAGACAATATATGTAAAGTTTCTTTTTGTATATGCATACTTTCTAAATATCTTATAATTTGAGAAATGGTATGTGCTCAATCTTAAATTACTTTATAGTAATTTATAAGATTATAGATTAACAATCTAGGAATTTTCTTATTTGTATTTTTTGATTTTGGGTCACACTTTTGCAGTGCTCAGGGCCTACCTCTAGCCCTGTGCTCAGGAGTCACTCCTGGCTATGTTGGGGATCAAATACATGGTCAGCCATGTGCAAGGCATTGCCCCCTTACTACCTCTGAGTGCCCATGAATTTTATTTTGAAATGAAACAATGTAAAAGTATAAGGAATCTTAAATTATGATCACCACTTAGGTTCATACTACTATATTTATCTTAGAGACTTGGAAATTTTTGTTCCAAATTTATTCATTGTTTCAATTATTCATAATTTTAAAATAAGCTGATGATGGTTTACATGTTTACTACAACTGTGTTTTGTGCAGATAGATTTAAGAAAGTAAAATGATTTGAGATTTTATTTTTCAGCTTGCCAATGTCCTTGAAATAGACTTATCGCTGGTTAAGGTATGTCATTTTATACTTTTTACTAAGTGAATCCTACTGTAGATTTTCCTAGCAACGGGGACTAAGAAAGGGAAACCGGGAGATTGCTGTCAGGGTGATGCACAGGACAGGGACCCTGCACAGAGGCGAGCAAGTGAAGGGCCTCCTAAGCTGTCCCTGGGAGTCAGCATGAGGACTCAGGTAGTGTGGAGCAGAAAGCAGAGTGACCAGGTCAGTTAAAGGATTCACTCTTACCCAGGGTGTAGAGCAGAGGGAAGCCATGCCAGAGAGTACTTTGTCCCCCACATATTTGAAGAGTAGGCGTTCAGAAAGTTTTTTTCCTAGTTCTGGGGTAAAAATGTTTTCAGTATCACTTAAAAGTGTAGTCTGTAACTCTTGTTTCTGTAGATTGAATCGAGTGTATCTTAAGTGCTGTTTCCTGTATATTCCGTTTAGAACGCTGTTTCAATGTATTGCCGACTGGGCTTTGCCCATAAGAAGGGACAAGTAATAAATGTGGACCAACTTCATTCATCGTGGAGGAATGTTCCATCTGTAAACAGATTAAAGTAATTCATTTATTCAGCTTGAGATCTTAGTGTTTCCTGTTGAACAACGTATTTGTTTTTTCATATAGAAATTTTACGTAGTCTTTCAGTTGAAGTGAATTCTGTATTAGTGGTTTTTGATTTTCTCTGATAATAGTTCTTTCAAGAGTATGAAAACTCTCCCAAGAAAAAAGGCCATATAATATTTGGCACATATTTATTTTTTTAATTTAATCACTGTGAGATAGAGCATTACAAAATTGTTCATAATTGCATTTCAGTCATACAATTTTCCACCTCTACCAGTGTAATTGGGCTGGAGCGATAGCACAGCAGTAGGGCGTTTTCCTTGCATTCAGCCAACATGGCTGACTTGAGTTCGATTCCTCCACCCCTCTTGGAGAGCCCGGCAAGGTACTGAGAGTATCTCGCCCGCATGGCAGAGCCTGGCAAGCTACCCGTGACGTATTTGATATGCCAAACACAGTAACAAGTCTCATGATGGAGACGTTACTGGGCCCACTCGAGCAAATCGATGAACAATGGGAGGACCATGACCATGACCATGATCAGTGTATAATTTCCAAGTACCAATGTCCCCACCCCTTCAAGCCCCTCACTCCAGCCTGCCTCTCTGGCAGGTGCCTGTCTTCTTGCTGTCTCTCCCTTTCTCTTTCTCTCTATCATTTTAAGCATTATGGTTTGTGATACAGATGCTGAAAGATTATCATGTATATTCCTTTACTTGCTTTTAATGCTCAGTTCTTATCCAGAGTGATGGTAAAGGTAAAGGCCCTCCCGTTGTTCATCGATTTGCTCGAGCAGGCCCAGTAACGTCTCCATTGGAGATTTTTGTTGTTACTGTGTTTGGCATATCGAATACATCACGGGTGGCTTGCCAGGCTCTGCCGTGTGGGCGAGATACTCTCGGTAGCTTGCTGGGCTCTCCGAGAGGGGCGGAGGAATCGAACTCGGGTCGGCCATGTTGGCTGCGTGCAAGGCAAACGCCCTACCGCTGTGCTATCACTCCAGCCCTAACTAATTCTGTCATAATGGATCCTCCTGTATCTTTACTACCCTCCATCTCCCACACCATTGACCTACTGAATATTCACCAGTCCTCCTGGCCTGTTTTCCCTGGCCTTAGATATTAGTTTCATACTTTTTTTTTAATGAAAAAATGAATGTCATTCTATATCTGTTCCTCTCATTCATTTTACTCAGCATGATACTCTCCAAGTCTATCTATTCATAGACAGATTTCATGATCTCATTTTTCCTAATTGCTGTGTAGTATTCCATTGTATAGATGTACCATAGTTTCTTTATCTATATGTCTGTTCTCAGGCACTCAGGTTGTTTCCAGATTCTGGCTATGGTGATTAGTGCTGCAATGAACATAGAAGTGCAGATGGTGTTTCTGCTGTGTGTTTTTGGACCCCCAGGGTATATTCCCAGAAGTGGTATTGCTGAGTCATATGGGAACTCAATTTCTTGTTTTTTGAGGAATGTCCATATTTTTTTCCATAAATGATTGACCAGTCAGCATTCCCACCAGCAATGAATGAGGGTCCCTTTCTCCCTGTGCTTGTGCCAGCACTGATTGTTCTTGTTCATTTCTCCGTGTTATAATTTTAAAAGTTTTTGAATTCCTTAAAATCTGTGTTTGGGTCTTGACTCAGAACCGTTGGTATATGTGGGCAAAGCATTTTGGGGCTAAGTTTGATTTTATGTAGATATAAGCCTGGATTTATGTGGTTCATATTTAGCTAATTTTATAAGTTGTTGGCATGATTATCTTAAAGTGACTTTTCTTACTTATTAGAAGTACTTTGGACCCACAGAAGATGTTGCTCTCGTGGGATGGCGGGGAGAGTAGAAGCCCTGTACAAGAAGTTTCATCAGCTACTGACACTGATACAAATAGTCAGGAAGATCCAGGTGAGCATGAAGTCGCTTTCACTGGACTCTGTCAATAGAGAAACTAAATGTCTGCACGTACGTGCATGCAGTGAATGCTCACACATAGTTACTGACAGTTCTTGAGTTCTTTTGGCATGTAGTCCTTAAGTAACCCCTCAGATGTTAAGTACTATAGTCGCTAGGTCTTAAGGGATATAGAGTTGTCAGGAATCTAGTTCCTTCTGAGAATTCTGACTAGGGAGAGAGAAGACTTTACAATCACAAACCACAACAGTGAGGGAAGTGTTTTTGGTTCTTGTGGGGAGCAAAGAGGAAGGCGTCCCCTTATGCCTGGAGAGGTTTGGGTGGCATTGTGGAAGACTGGGCTAAGGAGGAGTTAGAGCTTCCCAGCTAATGAGTGAGGGAAAACAAGATCAGAGAGAAAGGCAGAGTGAGGCTGACTTGGTGGACCCCGGCACTGTGTAAGACTTTGTCCTGGCGCCCGAGAGGAACACAGTGTTCGCCCACATTGCTCTAAAGAGGTTATACTAGTTAGTCTGATTTATCTGACACTTCTTAGATCCCTGATTAATTACTAGTTTTCAAGCAGTTTATTCCAGAAGTGAAAGTCTACTTTAAAAAATTTCTCCTATAGTATATATTAGCCAGCTAATAAGTTTGTTATGATCTTTTATGACTTACATGTTTTTAGTTTATTAAGTTAAAACTACTTTATCATCTCAAATAATAATACTTTTTACTTAAGTGATTATAATTATGATTTTCTTTTTTCAGCTGACACAGCCAGTATAAGCAGTTTGAGTTTGTCTACGGGCTATACAAAGCGTATTGCATTTCTATTTGATTCAACTCTTACTGCCTTTTTAATGATGGGAAACCTTTCACCAGTAAGTCACAGTGTGAAATGTGAGAATGTTTGAATTATGAAATCTTTTATGAAAATGCTTTAATACGATAATGTCTTAAAGATAAAAAATGATGCAGTGCTTTTTTTTTTTTTAAATCTCATGTACTGTTTTTATTCTTGAAAACAAGCTTGACTGCTTTGCATCTTTTAGATTAGTGTTTTTCAGCACTTTGACTTACTGACCTCTTCTGGTCATGGTTCCTTCCTGAGGGCCCCTGTCCTGCCGCTTGTTCCCATAGTTTCATGCTGTGAGCCCTCTATAGACACGGTTTACCTGTGGCCTCCTTACAATTTCCTGGTTCATAGTGTTTTAGAGGAATGGGATAAGTTTTCAGTGAGGGCTGCTTGTGTAATTAGAAAAATTAGCACCTCACCTTAGTTTAAATAATAGACCTGTTAAAACCCCTATGGTACAATTTAGGTTTTTGTTTTTATTTATTATAGAACTTGAAAAGTCATGCGGTCACGATGTTCGAAGTTGGCAAACTCTCAGACGAGTCTTTGGATAGCTTTCTTGTAGAACTGGAAAAGGTGAGTCCAGCCTGCCCATTATGGGATGTCAGGGTATTCGGAAACTTACCTCAGTTATTGTGGCAGTCATTTAGACTTCTGTGTATTGAGTGAACAAATTAATGTGAGTTGTAAAGTAATTTGTCTCATCTAACTCTTAGCATAATTTGAGATAGTGAAGAAATTGAATATAGAAGCCTTAATCTGAATTTTTTAAAAAGTTATCTTTTTCTAAAATGACCTCTTGTTTTCCTGGTATGAGTGTAACATCCTGCAAGCTGGTTTCATTTGGGAGACTTTTGTTCTTTCATCTTAAATCTGGAACATTGCCCCTGGGTATCATATTTATGCTCTCACCATCCTTTTTTAGCACCTTTTTAAAAATTTTATTTTAGGTACCCTGATTTACATGAAACCCTGCCTTTAACCCTATAGCATCTGCTTCCTTGGGCATTTATGAGTTCCTTACTATTTTTTTTTATATCCTTTCTGTGAGGGAGACCATGCTGTATACCTCTTCTCTGACTTAGCATGATACAGTCTTGATCCATCCATTCAGCAGCAGATTGCATTTCATCTTATAGCCAAGTAGTAGTCCAAGTACTTTACTGTACTGTACTCTATTGTACTGTAGTTTTCTTTATTCAGTCATCTGGACATGTGGCTATTCCAGATTTTGGCTATTAAGAATAATGCTCAGTGAATATAGGCATGCAATTTCAGGTCCTTAAGGTAGGTATCAAGAAGTATAATTGCTAGATCGTATGGAAACTCAGTTGCTAGTTTTTGAGACATGTCTGTACTTTTTTCCAAGAAAGTATGGACTCGTTGACATTTCAATCAGCAGTGAAAGAAGGTCCCCTTTCCCCTATATTCATGCCATCATGGTTTGTTTTTGTTTTGTGGTATGTGGTATGTTCCTTTGTCACTGGTATGAGATGGTATCTCATTGTTTTGACTTGTATTTCCCTGATGATAAGTAATGTGCGGGGCAATTTTTCATATGCTTTTTGTCATTTATCTTTTTTGAAGATGTTTCTGTTCATTTCTTCCCCTCATCTTTGGATGGATTGTGTGTTTTTTTTTAATTGTTTATGCCAATGCTTTACATATTTTTCGGATAATAATCCTTTGATAGGTAAGAGGCCTTGTTTTCTCCCAACTGATATGTATGGAAGGAGTGTGTCTTTACGTTGTTATAATTTCTTTTGTGCAGAAACTTCTTGGTTCATAGTTTCATTTATTTTTGCTTCCCTGTAACCAGTGACATTGGGGCACGGAAGGTACCTCTAACAACAATGTTAATGAAGTGTTCTTCCTCTGTCTCCCTCAGTATGATTTATGGATTCAGTTCTGATATCAAATTCTATAATCCATTTTGATTTGACTTTAATGAATGGTTTTATTTTATCTATGTCTTTAAAAATATCATGGTATTTTCATAGGGAATGTGTTGAATCTGTATAATGCTTTGGGCAGGATTGTCATTTTGGTAATATTAATCCTTTCAATTCATGAGTAAAAAACATAATTTCCATTTCCTCATGCCTTTTATTTTAATAGCGATTTATAGTTTTCTTTATATCTTTCATCTCTTTTGTTAAACTGATTCCCAGTTACTTGATTTATCTGAAGCACAATTGTGAATGGGATTAAAAGAAAAAAAAATCTAGCTGTGAATTTCTACCTGCCACTTTACACGCGTATTCCTAGAATTTTTTTTAGGGCCACACCAGGGCTGTGCTCAGGGTTTACTTTTGTCTCTGTGCTCAGGGATCACTCCTGATGGGGCTTGGGGACCATATGGGGTGCAAGGTATTAAACCCAGGTCAGCTCTTAAAGGCAAGTGCCCTTACTTGCGGTATTATCTCTCCAGCCCCAGGTTTTCTAAGTGTAGCCTCATAGCATCTGTGAGAGCCTGATTGTTCCAGTCTGGGTCCTCTTAATATCTCTTTCTTGTCTAATTGCTATGACAAGAACTTCCAATACTGTATTGATAGTAGTGGTGAGAGTAGGTAACCTTGTCTTGTGCCTCAGAGGAAAGGCTTTCAGGCTTTTACCGTTGAGTAAGTTTCCTGTGGTCTTGTGGTAAGTGGCTTTAAGTACGTACGTGAGGAAAGTACCTTCACCTCCCTATTTATTGAGAATTTTTATCATGAATGGGTATTGGATCTTGCTAAATGTTTTCTTCACACATGTTGATAAAATCGTACAATTTTTATTTTATCCTGAGTTGATATGGTGGTATTATGTTGATTTACTTGTGTATATCATACCATCCTTGCATCTCCAGGATGAATCCTACTCGATCATGTTATATCATTTTAAGTACCTTAAAGACCCTTTTTATCTATTTTTAATTTTTTATTTCATAAAGTAGTTCACAATATTTTATTACAATTAATATTCAACCACCAATCCCACCATCATTACACCTTCCCACCACCGTATTTCTGATGTTTCCATCCCGAACCCCAACCTCTGCCCCAAAGCAAAACCGAAATAATATATTTTGTATTGTTTGTTATGAAAAACCACAAAAAAATTTCCTTAGAGGAAAGAGTGTGAAAATTGTATTTCACCGAGGGGACCATAAATTCCTTCTATAGGAGATCACTACACTAGCATTTTAAAGGTTGAATTTTGTGTGTGTGTGTGTGTGTGTGTGTATGTGTGTGTATGTGTATATGTATGTATGTGTCTTAAAATTTCCCTCTAAGATTGGTTGCCTCCTACTTGGAACCCCATCAAATGTGGTGCACTACTCTTGGAGTATGGGTAGGGTGTATGGTATGAGGTGTCGCACAGCCGCAAATGTGACCGCTCGTCCAGGAATAGATTCACTCATGGATGAGGCTCAGCCCGAGCGTGTGGAGAGCGGCTGTGAGCATGGCAGCGGTTGAGTTCTGAAGGTTTAAGTTTCTGGTACTGGGTCCTTTGGGGTGGGGAGGGGTTTCACCTGCCCTCTTTCAAGGCACTCTGAATGAAGCAGCTTGGTGCTGGGTCTGGCGGCATGGTTATGGTGAGTGTCATGTTATGCTCCCTTCTGGGAGAGAAGGACACGAGACTCTGGATGGTTGCCGATGACAAGATTCTAAAGACCCATTTTAAAGACCATATTTTTGTGTATCCTTTTTGCCAGTACATTTTTAAATATTTAGCATATTTTAAATTGTTATCTTTTTTTTTCCAGCAACATCTCACAACAAATTGTGAGACTTGTGCCCGCTCGAGCAAATCGATGAACAACGGGAGGACAGTGCTACAGTGCTATCCTTTTATTTTCATCCTAATTAGAAATTTAAAATCAAGGGTAGCCAGTTAGCATATTAGCTACATTTTTCCCCCTAATTTTTTATGCCATAATTCTTTTTTTGTTGTTGTTTGCTTTTTTCTTTGCTTTTGTGCCACACCCAGCGATGCTCAAGGGTTACTCCTGACTCTGCACTCATGAATCACTCTTGACAGTGCACATATGGGATGCCTGGGTAGCTGCATGCAAGGCAAATGCCCTACCTTTGTACTATTGCTCTGCCCCCACTGTAATTCTTTTTGTTGTTGTTGTTTAAATCACAGTAAATTCTTTTTTATTTTCATTTTTCCTTTTGTTTGGGCGCCACACAGGGCAGTGCTCTGGGCTTTACCCCTAGCTTTGTGCTCAGGGGTCACTCCAGGTTGGTCTCGGGGAACCATATGTGATGTCTGGAATCAAACTCATGTTGGCTTGAGCAAGGCAATTGCCTTACTGCTCTCCTATCTTTCAAATCTTGGAAAAGACTTTTAACTTGAAGTCTAATTTTTATGTTTTGTTTGTGGGCCACACCGGCAGTGCTCAGGGCTTGCTTTTGGCTCTGAACTCAGGTGGACTCAGGGAACTATATGAGGTTCTGGGGATTGAACCCAGTTTGGTCATGTGCAAGGCAGGTGCCATATTCACTGTTCTAGTTCTCCAGCTCCTGGAGTTGATTTTTAAAAGTTGTTTGACTTGGGCTGGAGTGATAGCACAGCGGATAGGGCGTTTGCCTTGCATTCGGTCTACCCGGGTTCGATTCCCAGCATCCCATATGGTCCCCTGAGCACCGCCAGGAGTAATTCTTGAGTGCATGAGCTGGGAGTAACCCCTGTACATCGCCGGGTGTGATCCCCCCCCCCCCCAAAAAAAAAGCGCGGGAAAAAAATAGTTCTTGGACTTATGAAGCCTAGCCTTGATTAAACTTAATTGATTGATCTTTTTAGTGCAAATTTTGTTATTTAGTTCTTCCTGTAGACCAGTTCTTTTATTTTTCATATTGTCTGTGGGATGATGTATATGTTTGTAATTATTAAATAGGTAACAGGTTTTTTTTTTTCTTATAGGATATTTTATTTTATTTTATTTTATTTTTAATTTTCATTAGTGAAACACCATGAGGTACAGTTGTAGATTTACAAATTTTTGTGCTTGGGTTTTAATTATACAATGATCAAGTACCCCTCCCTCCACCAGTGCCCATTTTCCACCACCACTGATCCCAGTATCCCACCCACCCCCCACCCCTCCTACCCACCCTGCCTCTGTGGCAGGACATTCCCTTTTGTTCTCTCTCTCCTTTTGGGTGCTGTGGTTTGCAAAAGAGGCATTGAGTGGCTATCAAGGTAACAGGTATTTTTGATTGAAAGAATATGTATTATTTTAAGAGCCTGTGAAAGATAGATTTTATCTACTATTCTACTCTTATCTCTTAGATCACATGGGATTAGTGAATTTTTATTGAATGTAAACTGTATGTTCATCAGTGGCTAATAGCTACATAGAATCATTTTCCAGTATCCCTTAAAAGTGTTACTAAAAATTTTTTAATCAAACATCATAATTGGATTGGAGTACTTTTCTGGATCAAGCAAAATGCAGGTCTTAGAGTTATTAAGTTCTGCACCTGATCATACAGTTTATATAATGATATAATTTAGCATTATTGGGCTGCTAAAAATGATAGTTTCAGTTGTTTCAGTAATTTTATTTTCAAAGATATAAAATGGGAACAGTGAGGTTAATATTCGTATTAGTATGTCTCAATAGTATGTCTTTTTAATGTCTTAATATGACTCAAAAGTGGCATTTGTTGTAAAATTATTTTTTTCTTGGTTTAGGTTCAGAGTACTGGAGAAGGAGAAGCCCAGAGATATTTCGATCATGCCCTTACTTTGAGAAACACAATACTGTTTCTGCGTCATAATAAAGATCTAGTTGCACAAACTGCACAGCCAGACCAACCTAATTATGGTATGATAAATATACTTGATTTGAAAATATCCTGTGGAATGTCAGAAAATTAGCATGCTCACATACGGAATCATTACTCATTTAATGCATATTGTACAGGGAGCAGATTGAATTTATCACTAAAGGCTTGTTTTGTAAATTCCTTCACTTGTCCATCGTTCCTTTATTGTGCATTTTACTTCTTTATGTACCACAGAGTAAGTTTAGACACTATCAGTACCTGGTGACTCACTTTTCAGCCTGACTCTGGTTCAGGGTAGACCTTAGCAGAATTGCAAGTGATGCTGTGCTGGACACTCTGACAATAACAAAATCACTAAATGCCACGAAGTCTAAGAAGCATCTGTTGATAGTCTTCCATTTCAGGGGGATATCAAGTTGATGACTTGATCTAAGACACAGTCTGGGAGATGTCTTTGGATGTGAACCACCTTGGAATTTCTGGGATTTTCTTCGTGACTTATTGAAATAATGGAATTAGATTATTTGAAGTGTTCTGTTACAGCCATCTTTCCTGTTCATGAAGTTATAGAATATTAGAAAAGAAATAAACTGAACCTTTTCTTGACTGAATCTCCTGCCCATTTATTCCTTAAAGTCCATGAGTGAAAGAGCTGGGACATGAATCCATATGTTTTGGAAGTTTTTCTCTCTCCCTTATGTTATTTTCTCTTGGAACATAAAGATTTTTATTTAAATAAATATAAATATCTATAAATATCTATTAGTGGTCTGGATTAACCTTTGGTTTTCCTGGTGAATAGTCTGTGTACCATCAAGTAAACCTTTTCTGTATGATAGTAGTTAAAATATAATTCTAAATGTTAAGATATATTAATAGTGAACTGATTGTAGCACCAGTTGGAGATTTAAAACTTAGAATAATGTGACTCCGAGGTTAAATTATTTAAATTATCATTTAATTCCTTCACGTAAGTCCAAATTTACAACTATTTATAAAGTTTTCTTATTCCATCCAAGTTTAATTTTTTATGAAGTTGTATTATTTCAACCAAGTTTTATGTTTCTTAATTAGGACTTTGCAGTGAAATCACAGTCTTGAACATCATTTGAGTGACTATTTCTCAGTTTACACATAATTAGTAACATCCTAAAAGGTCATTTATTCCATACAGAGAATAGCTAATGGCAATGGGACTTAATGCTTTATCTCCTAATTGAGGGAGATTGCCTTCTGTTGGTACTAGATCTGATAGCTTAGTATTATTCTTACAAAGTTAAAAACCTGTGGTGTTGGTTTAGTTTTAAGCATCTTTTTGAGTAGAAGTAATTTTTTCTGTTACTGATAAGTTGCAGTTATCTTGTACTTGATGTTCACTATAAAGGAAATAGCTTTGTTAAATTATAGTAGGAGATGACTGGTATATATGAAAAGGACAAATTTTAATTTCTTGGTTTAGTATAGCATGAGGCTCAGCTTTTTTTAAAAAAGATTGCATTCTAATTGTTCTTCATTTTATAATTGTTTTCAGATATCTTTCAATAAAACATCTTTTTAGTAGGTTTAGAGCAGGTCGGCATAAAAGCCATTGATAATTTGGCAGTCTCATTCTGTGGAACCGATTAGAGATTAAACCATGTTAGTAGAGAAACTCACAGATGCAGACCCTCCAAATTCTTTTTGCTTCATAGCTGAACTCCATATTGCCTCTGATGAAGAAGAACCAAATGCTCATTGACCAAATTTTGGTTTAGGCTCGCTCTTTCGTACTCCTTAACTGTGAGTCCCCCTTGCAATGGCAGGCTGCTAGCAGGCTGCTCTTCTTTTTCCTGGAGAAGGAAGAGGCTGCCCTGTCTTTCAAGGCCCTGCACCTGATTCTCCCTAGCTTTGTTCCATACCTCTCTATAAAGGGATGCTCTTTTCTTGCCTAACTTCAAAGGCCTTTTTAGCTTGGTGTTTTCCCTCCCCATTGTAACAGTCTCCTTAAACCCCCAGAAAATGATAGAATTCTTTGTCCTTGCTCAGGATTTTTTTTTTTTATGACACTATTTTACTCATGATTTTGTCATTTCTCAGTTTGATTCTGAGAGTAAATTTGTTTGTACTTAACCAGACATATTTTCTCAGTCTTTAAAGAAATTGTTCTTTTTTCTCTTTTTCCTGCTGACTTTTCCGGATTTTTCCATATTGTCCCCTTTCCTTGCTCTTGTACTTCTATCTTTCTATTTGTCCAGGTGCTCTTTTAATGACTCACACCATTAAAGCACACATTAAATGCTATTTTTGGCATTTAATTTGGAAAAACTTGAAATTTACAGAAAAAAATTGTAAGAAGAAATAGGTTATTTTCAACCTAGAATTGAGAGTAAGTTGCAAGTCATAGCATTCTCCTTTATAATTATTACTCTTACGGTTATATTCTTGAGCTGTATTTTGTAAGGAAAGGGTATTTCTCTTACGTCAGCTGCAGACGATTTAATATTGATAGAATAGGGCCAGAACAATAGTGCAGTGGACAGGGAATCTGACCCGCATTTGATACCTGGCATGTTATATGGTCCCCTGAGTCCTATGAGAAGTGATCCCTGAGCTCAGAGCCAGGAATAAGCCCTGAGCACCATTGGGTGTGGCCCTGAAAACAAAACAAATTGATACAACAATCTACCATTTGTGTTCCAGTTATCAGAGACCCCAAAAATGTGCTTAGTACTTAGTATCTTGCACCTCTCAAATATAGAATTTAACTTAAGACAATGTGCTTTTAGTTGCCTTTAATCATCTGATATTTATTTTGAAACAAAATCTGTAACCCTTTAATCTTGTTTTGTTTGGGGACCAAACCTGGTGTTACCCGGGCTATTCCATCTGTTTTGGTAGGGGGATGTCTTGCCTAGTGGAGTTCTGGGGACCATGAGGAGCAAAAGCATTTGTCCAGACAGCTCCCTAGTCCAACCTAATTATCTTTTTTTTTCTTTTTGGTTCACACTGGCGATGCTCAGGGGTTACTCCTGGCTCTACCCTCAGGAATTACTCCTGGCGGTGCTTGGGGGACCATATGGGATGCTGGGTGTTGAACCTGGGTCGGCCACATGCAAGGCAAATGCCCTACCTGCTGTGCTATAGCTCCAGTCCCTGTTCATCTTTCTTGACACTTACTCTTTTTTTTTTTTTAAACATACTGACTCTTTTGTGTTTTGGTAAAAAGTTTCTCATCTTAGTAGGATGTTTCCTTGTGATTAGATTCAGTCTATATGTTTATTATCCAGAATACAATCTAAATTATGTTGTGTCCTTCCCAGAATATCATGTGGTTTCCACCTGTCTCCCAAAGGGAATCTTAGTTTTAATCACCCAGTTAATATGTTATCTGATATCTCCCCTATATAGTTAACAATTTTCCCGAGAGATAGCAAGTAATACTGGGGAGATACTTGATCACCATGGAAATACCTTATTCATCAATATCTCCTTTAACATTCATTGATGATTAGTGCTTGGGCTATTTTTTACTGTGATTATTGTAAATTAATTTCCCCTGCTTCAGCGCTTCATTATTGTGTTGTTGCAACTAGGCATTCGCTTGTATTCTCTTTCTGTTTTTATCAATTCATTTTTTTCCCAATAAATTATAGTTAGCTGTTGTTTCCTCTTTTTTTGTGCTACAATTTTCACAGATTTTGCCAGTGGATTTCCTTAAAAGTGGCTTCTCTCTCCATTTTATTGTACCTCCACCTTTTAAAGCATTTTCTTTTGTGGTGGAGGGTGGGGGTGGGGCAGATAATTTTTTATTTTCTCCAAAATGATCTTATTCTTCTGTTGCATATCTGGAATCAGTTCTTTTATTGTTGGGATTAAAAAATAAAAACTGTGTAATAAAAACTACCTGGTGCTGGGGCCGGAGCAATATCATAGTGGGAAGGACATTTGTCTTGCACGTGGCCAAGCCGGGTTCGGTTCCTCCGCCCCTTTCAGAGAGCCCGGCAAGCTACCAAGAGTATTCCAAGGCAAAGCCTGGTAAACTCCCCATGATGTATTCAATATGCCAAAAAGAGTAACAACAAGTCTCACAATGGAGACATTACTGATTCCCACTTGAGCAAATCGATGAACAACGGGAGGACAGTGCCACAGTGCTACCTGGTACTGATTGTGCTTATTGCTCTAGATTCTTTCATCAGCTGTATAAAATAGTTGTTTGGGAAAAAGCAGGGTGCACACCTGACAGTGCTTGGGCTCTTGGCTCTGTACTCAGGAATTACTCCTGACAGTGCTCACAGAACCTTGTGTGATGCCAGGGATGAAACCTGAGTTGGCCAGGTGCAAGTCAAGAGCCGTGATTGCTACCCAATTGCTCTGACCCTTTGTCCATTCTTGCTTGAGAGGAAGTTGGGCTAAGTTGATCAGAGTTTAGGAATTTTCTCAACCTTATATATATCTTTTTAAAGAGCAGTATGGTTGATAGTTTCAGATAGTGAGATTCATAGTTTCAAAAGGTTTAAGATTGGCAGCACCTAAAAACTTTTGAAGATTGAGAACATCATGCTTTGTGAATGACCAATCTGTGCCTGTATGCTATATTGAGAACTTGTCTATGAAGTTCTTCAGAGAGACTCAAGTTGGGGGAGGGAGGGAGACAGTTTCCTAAGGGCATGGAGATTTTCATCATCTGCCACTGCCATTAGGTGGAGGGGACAGCAGGAATATGAGCAAGGTAAATCAGACCCTCATCTGTTTTAAAAAAATAATAATAAAAGTGAAAGACAGCCCAAAGGAACACCAGTAAACAAATTTTCTCTTTAAATCTGAGAATAAATAAATTCATTTTTATGTACATTTAAATTTCATTTTTATTTAAATCTTTAAGTGAGTGATCTAGGAAATTTGTTACTTTTCCACAGAGCTATTTTACTTCATACTTTCTTTTTTTCTTTTTGGGTCACACCCAGCAATTTTCGGGGGTTAATCCTGGCTCTGCACTCAGGAATTAGTCCTGGTGGTGCTTTGGGGACCATATGGGATACTGGGGATTGAACCCGGGTTGGCTGCATGCAAGGCAAATGCCCTACCTGCTGTACTATCGCTCCAGCCCCTACTTTTTTTTAATATCAAGACAGTTATTAATATTTTGTCTCAGACTTTTTGTTTACCTATTGTCAGTCTTTCATTCTTTGTATATGGTTGGTTATATTCAGGTTTTCCTCTGGATCTTTTACGATGTGAAAGCCTTTTGGGTTTGGACCCTGCAACTTGTAGTCGAGTTCTGAACAAAAACTACACACTGCTTGTTTCCATGGCTCCTCTTACCAATGAAATCCGGCCCGTCAGCAGCTGCACCCCTCAGGTAAAGCCCGGGTTGGAAGCTTGCTGGTGTGGTCATTTCATTCTCCTTTGCAGTGACTAAAGCAGAGGTTTAACCGTTTCATTATTCTCAGTTTGCCAATACCTGCTAGTAAAGTCACTGACTCAGAAACTTGTTTTCTCTTTTATGCTGTATTTTGTGAGATGTAATTGATAGATTTTATTTATGTATCATTTGGTGGCTTGTGGATCATTAAAATTTTCTTCATGCGTGCAGCCATTCGAAGAGAATGCTTTTGGCTGCTCTAACCTGGATTGCCATGAGGGGTGAATAATAGCAAAACAGGGTGTTTGGGGAGTGGGGTTAGGATACTCAGTAAGCTGAACAGAAAAGATTGTGCTTGCAAGCTAGAGCTTGATCTTTAAATTTTCCTTTTGAGAATGCTGATGCTGAATATGAATGCAAACAGAACACGGGCTGTGAATATGGCTCAAAGTGGTGCAATGTATGGCTCACGTGTGCAAGGCCCTAGGTCTAATCTCCAGTACCATGTGGCCCCCTAAGGAAGCCCTCCTCTCTGCTGTTGACAGCCTAAGCCAGGTGTGATCTTGGTGGTGCCTAAGCACCACTGACTCAAGTACAGAACTCTTAACCTGAGTTCTGGGTGGGTATCACTGAGGAAAGCATCTTAGACTCTTACCCTTTCTCCAGCTTTACTGGGTGTGGTCCCTATAATTTTCTTTTAAAGTTGAATTTTTGTATTTAGCCAGGATAATGTGGCCTGCAGCATTTCTGAAGAGTGGAAGAGTTGGGATTTTGTTGCTATTTCTAGTGCAGCCTCCTGCCTACTTCCTGACTTGCATGGATTATTGCTGTACAGGAAAAGATGAGATTGTTGTGCAAGATTGATTTTGTTGTCTTTGCTCTTTTATCTGCCTCGGTGGCCTAACCCTCCCCTCCCAGTTTTATTCTGAGATAAGTTTTTGGTATTGGGGGCATGCAGGAATGGGGCCATACCTGGTGGTACTTGGAGATTACTGTGAGGTTTTTCAGGGATTATTCTTGGCAGTGCTTACAGAGCCACATTTGTGTTGAATCTGGGTTGGCTGTTTGCACAGCAAACACTTTAATAACCCTTGTGCTATCCCTCTAGTCCCACGTTTTATGATTTTTTTATTGTGTGTCTCCCCTCACCCAATCCCTGTACATTCTTTCTCCTATTCTTTACGACAGCCTGTAGATGTAGGAAGAATCACAGCATGGTATGAATGATAAGTTAGAAGGAGAGTTGGACGTTCTCCTTGTGAATAATTGCATGTGACTAATGATAATAGTAGTTGACACTTTGATATATAGAGCTTTATTAGATGTCAGGTAGCTTTTTAAAAATTTTTTTTGAGTAACCTTAAAATCCTTATGTGTTAAATATTTTATTGTCTTTTTACTGATGAAAATAACTGAGCCATAGAGTGCTTAGGTACCCTCTTAAGACATGATTGGAGGGGATGTAGCCAAAGATAAACCTTGAATAGTGGTCTCCCTCAGTTCTTTTAATTGTGGCGTAATGTGTGCTTTCTCATTCCAACATAAAACAGAAGAAGCACTTTGAACGGAGCATTTAAAATTTCTTAATTTTTTTTTTAAATTTAAGCTCCTTGATTTACAAACTTGTTCATACACAGTTGACCCATCACCAGTATGACCTTCCTTCCACCGATGTCCTCGGCTTCCCACCCACCTTCCCAAGCCTGCCCTTTTATCCAGCACTAACAAATTTACTTCCCATTGCCAAATGGCAAGAAGTGGAATTTCAGAAAATAGTTCACTAAAAATGAATTTGTCATAATTATTATATCTAAAATGGCATTACTAAAGTCATCGCACATTTACTGAGCTGTTTGTTGTTGGTTGAGCCTTCTGTGTCATTGTTTTTGCTCATGGAGTTTGATGGGCTTTGATACAATTTTCCTATCACATTTGCTGTGCTTCCTCTACTGGGCTTTAAGCACTGTGAAATTTGGGGGGTATTTTGTGGCTGCATATTTGACTGCACCCCAGGAGCTGTGGAACCAGGCAGTTTATGTGTTGGAGGATGTTAGGTATGGGGGCTGCTGGGCCTATCCAGAAGGGAAGGGGATCTGCCCACCCCCGTTTTGAGAAGGCCACAGAGTTTTCAGTCTGAAGATTGATCAACCTGGGACAATTGGCAGCTTAGTAACTTGACCTTAAAATTTATTTTTATATACAACTTTTACTTAGAGTAGTTGTTGTAAGACTACACTTGGTTGATTGTGAATTTGTGGGGGTTTTTTTTGATAAGTATTAAAATTTTATCTTATGTATTTTGTAATTATAGCATATTGGACCAGCTATCCCAGAAGTCAGTTCTGTCTGGTTTAAACTGTATATTTACCATATTACTGGGCAAGGACCACCATCTCTTTTGCTGTCCAAAGGTACAAGACTCCGAAAACTGCCAGATATATTTCAGGTATGTCATAGGAAGTATTTATTATTCTTTAAATTTTAGTTTTGAGGGAGCTCATAGTTGTTAAGCAGAATTACAGAAAAATTTAACTCTTCCCCCCTTATTTCTAAATTTTCTTTTCCATAGGGTTATGACCGCTTACTAATAACATCTTGGGGCCATGATCCTGGGGTAGTTCCCACATCAAATGTACTCACAATGTTGAACGATGCTTTAACACACTCTGCAGTTTTGATTCAGGTATAGTAACTGTGTTTGAAACAATCACTTTTGGGTTATTATATTAACAACCATAATCTGGCTTGTGCTCAGTTGCAGTTGAATATCAATACTTTGTAACTTCTGAAGTTGAACGTGAGGGATGGTAGCTGAGTTTTCAGTCCTGGCCATTGATTGTGTAGGGACGGTAGCCATGTGGATGTTCAAGTTAGGACCTGGGTTTAATGTGTTTAAAAGAGTTAAAAAACAAACCTCCATTGAGATATAATTCACATACTATTAACCAGTTGAAATTAATACAATTCAGCGGTTGATTTTAGTGTACTAAGTATCTACAGCTGTCATCATGTTCAACATTTTAGTTCTTTCAAAAAGAAACCCTGTAACTTTAGTTCTTAGTTCTCTATTCCTCATCTGCCTCTTCTGTATTCCCAGTCTTCCAGCCCCAAAGAACTGTAATTTTGTGTCTTTGTAATATTTGTTTTGGGCATTTAATGTACTTGAAATCATATCTATCTAGTGTTTTGTGACTGGCTTCTTTTCACTTTATAGAGTATTTTTAGGGTTTTACCATGTGCCTTGTATCATTACTATATTCTTGTTAATGACCAAATAATATTTCCAGTATCAGTAAAGCATCCTCTGTTTATTCACTCATCAGTTGATTGATTTTTGGGTTTCTCCTACCTATTGACCATCATGAATAATAGACACTCTATAAACATTATGTTCAGGGTTTTTGTAGGGGCTTATTTTAATTTCTCTTGGGACTCTTGTCAAGGACCTGAGGTAACTTTTCCGTGTTTAATGATCTAGGTTTGGCTATTTTTTAAAGTGGCTACACCATTTTATATTCGTACCACCACTTGAAATTACCTTAGATTTTTATTACAACCAATTTGATGTCGGTTGAAGTGTTACTGTGCTTTTGATGTTTTATTTTCCTGATGTTGTTAAAACTTTTTCCCTGAGATGTTTGTGCTGTGTGCCATGTTATAGATATTCCTCTTTTACTTAGTTTCCCATATATAAAATGGAGATGAAGATACCAAGTACATAATATCAGAGTAGTGGTGAGCTCATGGTGTGAGATGAGCAGTATGTAGTGAGAGGATTGCTGGTTGAGATGAGGCTGTATGTGTGAAATACACAGCACACCTTCTGGTACATAATTGGCTTTCGGTGAAGAGTTCATTAGTTCATCTATGATTGTATGTGCCATCTCTGTGCTTATTGATGAAGATGTGCAGTTAAGACATGGTCTGTCCCCATGAGACTTAGGTCTGGTGGGAGGAGCTGTAGGCAGTGTGGTGGTGGTGTTGGGTGCTGAACGGACAGCGATGATGGTTCAAGCATTGAAGAGAATCTCAATGATTCTCCAGTGTTACATTTTATTTTATGATACTCAGTGTGCATAGTTAAATTCTTTATTTTACAAATTATAAAATCAAAAACAAACTTTGAAATTAAAACTTTAACATACATTGAAAGTGATAAGGTGAAGCAATTATTTTTACTATGGGAGTGGGCTGGTAAGATTCAAAGACAAAAAAAATTTAATTCTTAAATATATAGCATACTTACATGACTCAAAAATAAATTGTTCAAAGATATAGAGAAAAGGATCACTGCCCTTCTAACGTAGTTGACCCACTTCTTTCTCCCCCTCTCTCCTCCAAATGAGATAACCACAGCATTAGTTTCTTCCTTGCCCCTCTAAAGTTTGTTTGTGAGCAGTTCACATGAGGTGCCCCTTCTTCCAACTTAGCAGTTGGAGAGTGTGTAAATTGCTTCCCGTTCTCTTTTGCAGCTGCAATGAAAATATTACTTACTTAGCCAGTCTGTCTTCTATTATGGGCATTTTGGTTGTTTCCAGTTACAAGATATGTAATTGGAATGATGAAGTAAATAAAAGGTTATGTATTTTTTCAAGGCAAATTCTTGAGTTTCGTATTCTTAGTACATGATATGCCAGGTGATTATATGAGAATTCTTCCTTAACTTTTTCAGAACTGTAGCCAAACCTTGTGTGAGTGTACTGAATCTCCTCCGAGTCTTCACTGAACTAACATCTTATTTTCCTGTTAAATCAGCCTCCTTTAGCCCATAAACTCAACTTGAGGCATATTGCCTCATAGGTTTTTTAATCGGATAAGATTGTCTTGTTGTTGGACAATGTTGAAATTTGTTGACATTTTTTAAATGAGTTAATGTGAATGCATCATCACATGATATGATCTTACTGTTTGAAAGTCTGTTACCGGAAATGCAGGGTTTTCATATCCTTTTCACCTTGTGTTTCATCACGTTTAGGGACATGGTTTGCATGGGATAGGAGAAACTGTCCACATACCGTTTCCATTTGATGAAACAGAACTACAAGGAGGTACCTTACTTTTGAATTGTAATCGGTTGACTTATGTATCAGTCATCTTTGTCAACAACTTGGTGGAAAATAGTAGGAAATGAAGTCTTAGGGGCTGGAGTGATAGTAAAATGAGTAGGTCACTTGCTTGCATGTGATCAGCCCGGGTTTGACCCATGGCATCCTGCATGGTCCCTGAAGCCCACCAGGACTAACCCCTGTGCAAAAAGCCAGGAGTAAGCCCTGATCATTGTAGGTATTTTAGATGTCGACCAAACACCAAAAAAAATTCTTTTTATAAAGTTTTAAATTTTCAGTTCTAGTATAGTAACTACCATTCTGTTTTTAAAGAAAGTCAGTATGGGTTAGTTTTCCCATCATATGCCTTTTCTTATCAAGAGCCAATTGAGGACCTCTTAGGTTTCTTCCTATTTTTCCTAGAAAGAACAAATTGTTGAGGACCTTTGTTGGAATATGAGTCTGCCTTAGAGATAAAGAGAATAAGCAAATACCTGTCTAGGTGAATGAGTAAGTTTCCGCTCTGTTTAAGATTAGGGAATAGGAGGAGTCACATAAAGGATTTTGTCCTCAGAAAGTCACTTTTTTTTTTTTTTGGCTAAGATGTAGTGTTCTTTTTCACGGCCTTTTAAGAAGACATTTTTAGAAATCGAGGCTAGTGAACATTTTTGCGCGATTTCATAACATTCTCACTGATAAATTGTGGGTTTTTTTTTTTTTTAGTTAGGATTTGAGTGGATGTAATATTTGAGAGAAATTCACCTACTTAGAATCAAGAAGGGAAAGCTAAAGGTGAATGTGAACTAGAGTATGTTTGGTGAAAGGTGCTCAGAATATTTTTTTTTTAATTTTTTAATCTAGATTTTAATTTTAAACTGTAAAGTCAATATCAATTGAAAAAGAGACACAATGTATTTCTTTTAGGCCACTTTTCCTACAAAGTTTGTCTAAGTACACTTGGAGAATATGCAGAATTTCTTTTTAAGCAAACTCTTTCTACCCTTTGTCTAGTGTAGAAGATACCTTTACTGTTAATTACTAAATCATATTTAAAAGAAAATTTTCTTATTAAAAATAATGTATGCATATAACACAGTGTTTTCTGCTTCTGTAAAGCAGTTTTTCTTTGTATTACCTCTTTTTCTGGTCTTAGAACTATATTACATGGGATTTTAGAGAATAAATGGCTCAAGTCACTTAAGTCATCAATTCATAAAACAACTTAGGGTTCTTCCAAAATGACTTTAGTCACCATTGTACCCCTTTTCTGTGAAGAGAAAAGGAAATGGATTTTTGTAAATATCTCTTTCCTTTTCATATGGTTGAACTTCAGAACGGCTTTTTTGAATTTAAGGTGCTCTTTTCGGCTCTCATGAATAAATGTACTCAACATTTGAAAAAGATAGATTTCTTTTTTTTGGAAATAAAAGCCCCTATTTAAAAATTAGCATTTCTTTGGAGCTATACTTTGCTATTTCATCCTTTGATACCATATAAATTCTATGTACAAAACAGTTGTTCACATAAGATACATAATCTTAAGTTAATGAAAATTGAGTGATGGTTCTCTTTAACCTTGGAATTACTTTGTGAATTTTTTTTAAAAAAGAGGAATTTTCATATTTTGGTATTGAGCATCTTTCTGTTTCAAATATTTATGAGAACATGGCCTAATGTTTAAATAATTATTGAGATGATTTCAAGTAAATTGATAGTTGTTAAAGCAAGTAATTTCATTTTAAGAATAGTTTGAATTTCCTTAAATATTTGTCAATATGTATATTTAATACATGTCCCAGTAGAATATTTTACCAAGTAAAGATCTGAGACAGAACTACAAAGATAAGCATAAAAATTTGCCACTGACTGGCCCAATTGCTTATTTAGCAAATAATTAGTTGCAATACATCAAATACTTCCCTCTTGAAGGTTATAAATATGTCTTGTATGTGCAGTATCCTTTTGCTTTCATGGATATTACTTCATTAGACTCGATTTTAATACATTAGATATCAGTGTCATACTAAGAATTATTTGATAAAATGGAAGTATACTTAACTTTTGGTATTATGTTATAAAATCTCTTAAAATGTGATGTCAACTCTTTATTTTAGAGTTTACTCGTGTCAATATGGGTGTCCACAAGGCATTGCAATTATTACGGAGCAAAGTGGACTTACAGCACTTTTGTGGATATGTGACCATGTTGAATGCTTCTAGCCAGCTTGCGAACAGAAAACTCAGCGATGCTTCTGATGAGAGAGGTTGGCCTACAATTGAGTTTAAATTAAGAGTAATACATTCTTAATGCTTAAAAAGCAGGGTGATCCTTGGGGATTTTTAATTTTTTAAATTTCTTCTGTGAGGGTAGGAAATACTGTGACATCCTTTGGACTTATACCTGTTCATATGGATTATTCACTAAGGAAACATTTCTCTTGGATTGTGTGTCATTGACTGGTCTGAGTTTCTTGGTTTGAAATTTTGAGGGAAAGTGATTATTGCTAGTCCTCCAGCGGATTGGTTGTCTTGGTTTTCTTTGGATGGGGTATCTTTTCCTCGCCTATTTCCTATGGCCAGAGCACTTGTGTGCCTTTCAACAATAAACTACCAGTTATGGCAGTGGCATTTTTCAGAGAAGTCGCCTTTAGGTTTGGCAGTCATTTCTAAGTGTGTTTACTATAGCCGTTTTTTTTTTTAATTTTAGTTTTCTACAAAAAATACTTGCTTCAGTGCTAGAGATACTCAAATCGGTAGATACTCATTTTATTTCAATGAATAAAACAATAGCTGGGGAAACAGGCAAGCAAATCAACTGTTGGTGTGCAGTGTTGAATGACTGCTATGGGGGACTGGAGAGATAGTACAGCAGGCAGAGTGGCGTTTGCCTTGCCAGGTTCACTCCCTGGCATCCCATATGATCTCCTGAGCAGCACCAGGAGTAATTTCTGAATGCAGAACCTGGAGTAACCCCATCGCCCAGGTGGGGCCTCAAGATAAGACTGCCAGGGAAGTGTACTGTGACTTAAAGTGCTGTACAGAAGCACAGCGGAGGCACTTCTCGGTCCCATGAAACTATCAGAGAGGGCCTCTTAGAGAACATAGAACTGGAAATGAGGTTTGGAAAAATGACAGAAGTTGATAGATCTTGAGAAAATAGCAGCCCTTCAGGAAAATGAGTTGGCCGAATGACAGGATTGGCCAAAAGAAAGGATTTATCAAACAGTAGATGAGAGTAAAGGAAGAGAGTTAGAGAACTTTGAAGAGGAAGAACATAATCAAATTGCATATTTCCACAGGAAAGGAAGTGATTTTCTGATGTAAGTGAAAGCCTAAACTCATGTTCTGCCCTTGGAATCTTATTTCAGTATGTCTAGGTTTCACAACTTCAGCAGTTTGGATTTTGAGTTGGCGAAGTTACAAAAGCAATCCTGTGTCTTGTAGGATATGTAGCAACCTCAGAGAGCACAATAGCCTTTCATGTAGGATTTATTTATGACTTATGCTAACTACCAGAGTACTAATAAAGAGTATGTTCTTTAATTAAAAGGAGAACATGATTTGGCTTCTGGCTCAGATGTAAATGGCAGTACAGAGTCATTTGAAATGGTCATTGAGGAAGTAACTGTAGATTCAACCGCAAAGCAAAATTCGGGTAAGGTTTTAAAAATTATGCAGTCTTTGATTTTTGAGTTTTTTTTAATGTCATTTGTTTTCTCTTACTATGCTAATGAAACTTTTCAATTATGTATTTTCTGGGAATACTGATTAAATCCCAGAACTGTGACCCAAGAATAATAAGTACAGTTTTATTCTTCCTGTGTTAAATATTTTTATTTAGTTTTTCATCTTTTTTAATCAGATAGTATTTTCAGCATCTGATAAAAGCTTTGTGCCAGAAACATTTCCAGAGTTGGAGATGTACTTACTCCGTCCCTGCCTGTGTAGGCTGTTAGTGGCTATCTCTTGGGTAGAACCAGTCGTTCAGTTAAGGAGCCCTCATCAGTCACAATCAAAGTGAGTATCTGTATGGTTAATGAGTTCGTGTGTCCTTTTGTAGTTGCTACAACAGAAGCCGATTGGGTTCCTCTGGAGCTGTGCTTTGGAATTCCACTGTTCAGCTCTGACTTAAACCGAAAAGTGTGTAGAAAAATTGCTACACATGGCCTTTGCAGAAAAGAGAGGTGAGTGTTTATATTCATCGTCATCTTTTCATCTACTAGGATTTGGAGCCCTCAGTAGTTGATACAGCTTAATTTTAATTTTTTTCCACACATGACCGCAGGAATTGCTTGTATATATATATATATATATATATATTGACTAAGTTTCAGCAGCTTGTATATTTGGCATATGCCAACATGTATTTTAATTACATTAGCATGTTAATTAGCGTGCTTTTGTTATGTTATGGTTTGCTGAGATTGTGGTGAAATGACATGCTTATAGGTGATTAGGAACTTTTGCTTTTTTTTTTTTTTTTTTTTTGCTTTTTGGGTCACACCCGGCGATGCTCAGGGGTTACTCCTGACTCATGCACTCAGGAATCGCTCCCAGCAGTGCTCAGGGGACCATATGGGATGCTGGGAATCGAACCTGTGTCGGCCATTTTGGCTGCGTGCAAGGCAAACGCCCTACCCGCTGTGCTATCGCTCCAGCCCCCCTTTTTGCTTTTTTAAGTAAATAACATACACAGACTCAAGTTTTATTTGCAGTCATTATATTTTTTTTTGTGGCGATGTAGATGAGTATCTGAATTTCCTTCCTGTCATATGGTTTTTAAAGTGAGCTTGAATTAGTTATCAGATGTCATGCAGGTGGCCCCCATATGTCCTCTCTGGTCCCTTGGGGATGATTAGCAAGAGAGAATGTCATGGTCAGGTACATGGAGAGGTGATAGTACAGAGCACAGGAACTTCTTTATTTAGGAAAACAAACTTTATAACATAGTAAATTATTTACATTACTAAACTGGCTTCATGTAGGTTCTATCCGAAATTTACTCAATTTGCAAATAACTTCAACTGTGCTTTGAAAATAAAAAATAGTTATAAATCAAAAGTAGAAATGCATAACTTTAAATGAAGCTGCTTAAATTGTCACCTACTTACATATTTGACAAATACTAATTTATTATAGATGAATTGATGTATGTTATATCTGTTAGCCTTTTTCTCATGATGGTTTTTAAAACTAACTTGTATGTTTGATGTTTGTGTCATATTTATCATCCCTCAGAGTTCTTACATTTGTTTTAAAGATTTTGTTTATAACATTCTGTTTATTGATGGCTTTAAATTTATTTTATTGGCAGGAATATTTCATATTGTTGTATATGTTTAAATTAAAAACAAAATTTTTAATAATTACTCCATGTTAAAACAGGTAGGAATTGCATTCACAAGCATTGCATTTAGGTTTCTTAAAATTTTATGTGATTAGTAAGGATATACATACAAATATATACATATTTCATTTGCTAAAATTAAACTCTGTGAGATACTTGATTTTGTTATTAAATTAAAAAATTTCCTCCTCCCTTTTTTCTAGCCTTCAAGACCTTTTACATTCCAGTAGAAAACTCTCCCTACAAGTCCTTAACTTTGTTCACTCATTCCAGGTAACAAAACCTAATAAATATAAATTATTTTATGTAGAGCTATAAAGAATGCAGAAGACGTCTTAATCTCTTTGGTACACTTGCAAGATGTGAAATAAGCACTGACTATTATGATTACTGGTTTTTAAACACATTCAGCTGTACTCAGGACTTTCTCCTGGTCCTGTGCTCACACCTGGCAGGGCTTAGGGGACTGTATGTCATGTTGGGCTTGAACTTGGGTTGGCCTTGTTCACAGCAAATGCGCTACTGTTGCTCCCGCACCCTTAAGCATTCATTTTAATTGATAAATGAACATACTTAGATTCAGGAAATAACGGTTTACCTCTGATTTCATTGTCTGGCCTTGAGTTGAAAGCAGTGTTACACAAAGTGGGCAATATGCCCTCCGCCCTGCCCTTCAAGGGTGGGCTGGAATGCTAGGTGAGCTGTAGTATGGTAGTAGCCTGGGGCTTAGTTTCGGGGAGGAGTCGTGCTCTCTCTCTTTTTGCTCAAAGGAGGTAGATTTCTAGGAGCCACTGAGAGATTTTTGTTCTTATTTTTTCTGAAAAGGGGTGGTAGGCCAAAAGAAGTTTGGGAGCCTTTGGTGAACTCTTGGTTCTATGCCACTAGCTCAATAGAAACGTATTCAGCACCTATTATGGGCCACACTCCTATAAGGTACTGGTTTGTAGTTGTAATCCCCCTCCTGAATTACTGCAGTTAGTGTTTTTGTGGCTGAGATGGGGTTGTCTGTGTAAAAAACATTGGTTTAGACCATTGTTCCCCCAAATGATAATTGTCCTCATGGGGGCTGCTGACATGATTCAGGGGGGTGATAGGAGCCTCAGGTGGAACTGGGGTTGCTTTCTGTTTATTCACTGGAGGAAGGCAGATGGGGTCTTTTTTTTTTTACCATTTTTTTTTTACTTATGCCAAGTAAGTTTAGGTACTTTGCTCTAGACTTTTGTCTTATTAGGAGGGAAAGAACGCCTTAGGTATGATTTGTAGATAAACTTTGACAGAATTTTCTCTCAGAATATCTGATCCAGCAGTATGAAGTCAGTAGTTTGGAACTTTTGCTTCATGGGTGTCTTCTGTGAATACTTGAATTTCTGCCAGAGCCTTTCTGGAGTGCTAGAGAAACAACGTGACCTACGCTGTTGAGCTTCCAGTGTTATACAAGATAATAGTCGGGAAATTTGAAGTCTGGAAGTAGACACTGGGATTGAAACAAACTCCTTCTAGTGTGAGGAGATGAGTACAGTGATAGAATTGATTTTAGGGATGTTACATAAACGGGAACCTAAAAGTTGGGAAGAAGATTTCAGACAGAGCTTAGGATATGCGAAGACCCTGTGTCAGGACGATCTCTGTTCAGGGAGACTCATCTCTTATGGCATAATCTGCCTTGTGAAAGAGCCATAACTGCAGGGGATGGTGGCACTTCTATAGAGGATATTAAAGAATTTTCACCTTATATTGAGTATACCAAGGGAAGTCTTTATTTTTCTTTGGGGTGAGAGATTGGGTCATTCCCAGGATTATTCAGTGGCTACTCCTGACTCTGCTCAGGAGCAACCCTTATCCAAACCACCATCTCCTTTGCAAAAAAAGAAAAGGTTTAAACAGTTTCTCTTTGAACTCAGGTCACATGCATATAAAGCAAGTACTACTTTTATCCCTTGTACTATTTTTAAGTAGTACCTCTTATACTGTGTCTGAAAGTGTAAGCTTTTAGACAGTGGAATGGCATTGCCTTAGATGAATTATTTTTAAAAGTTTATTATTAAGGGATAGATTAAAAGAGGACAAACAAAAACACCATCAGCTCTAAGACTGTTGTAATAGTGAAGTTAGTTGAGGATTTGTCTTCCTTAAAAATGATGGCGACGGCTGGAGTGGTAGTACAGCGGGTAGGGCGTTTGCCTTGCACGCGGCTGACCTGGGTTCGAGTCCCAGCATCCCATATTGTCCCTCGAGCACCTCCAGGAGTAATTCCTGAGTGCAACAGCCAGGAGTAGCTCCTGTGTGCTGCTGGGTGTGACCCAAAAAGCAAAAAGAAAAAATTATGGTGGTGGGGGCAGACTTAGGAGTCAGACTGGTACTGATGTCAGGGTGTCGGTGAAGTCAGCCCGGTGTCAACATGTTATCCAAACTATAAGAATTTAAATTTTAAAAAAATTGAGTGCCAAGAAGGGTTGGGGTGGGGACAGGGAGGGAACCTTGGATCATTAGGTGTTGGATACTGACACTGATGTGAAATTTTGGTTTATTTTGTTTTGGGGCCATCCCAGTGGTGCTCAGGTACTCCTGGTGATGCTCAGGGAACCCTGTGTGGTGCCAGGGGTCCAACATTGTTTGGCCACTTATAAGACAAGCGCCCTACCCTGCTCCAGCCCTGGTGGTGGGTTTGCAGTTGGAACATTGTATACCTGAAGCTCTATTATCAGTAGCACTGTAACACTGTCCTCCCGTTGTTCATTGATTTACTCGAACGGGCCCAGTAACGTCTCCATTGTGAAACTTGTTGTTACTGTGTTTGGCATATCATATATATAAAAATATATACATATATATACATATATATATATACATATACATATATAGGGCTGGAGCGATAGCACAGTAGGTAGAGCATTTGCCTTGCACGCGGCTGACCTGGCCTATCCAAGTTCGATTTCTCCGCTCTTCTCAGAGAGCCGGGCAAGCTACCGAGAGTATCTCGCCTGCATGGCAAAGCCTGGCAAGCTGCCCATGAATTATTTGATATTATCAATAACTTAATAAAATAACAATGAATAAAAATACAAAAATTACAACTGGGGCTGGAAAAAGAACTCGTTCCCCAGCACCACCAGGCCACACAAAAAGACTATAATAATCTTTTGTAAAAGATTATAATAAAATTTACACATATCACTAGAAAAAGTTTATGACACATAAGTTCTGTTATACCAGTAAATATGCATATTAGAACCCCCCAATTTTTTTTAAACCCCCAAGAGAAGAGGGCAGGTAAGGTGGAAGTTTTTTGGGGTTTTTTTGTTTTTGTTGTTTTTTGGGTCACACCTGACGATGCTTAGGGGTTACTCCTGGCTTTGCACTCAGGAATCACTCCTGGCAGGGCTCAGGGGACCATATGGGATGGTGGGAATTGAACCCGGGTCGGCCGCGTGCAAGGCAAATGCCCTAGCCACTGTGCTATCACTCCAGCCCCAAGGTGAAAGTTTTGAGTTGGAGACTGGGGAGAAATCTGTGGTCAACTTGGAAACCTGGGAACCCTGGCGGTTGTTGCTCTTGCTTTTGTAGATTGTGAGGTTTTTAGGGGGTGCCCAAGAACTCTTTGTTCTTCCTTAGCTCGGAGCCTCTTCGTGTCGGCTCAACCACCACAGCCTGACTCTTAGTGATCACTTTTACACCTCTTAATCCCAAATCATTGTTCTTGGGGTTCGTGGAGAGGATCTTCGCTTCACCCACAGGACCTTGCGTTTCATACACTTCTCTCAGCTGTAATTAGTGGTTTGGATGAAGTGCTGACTAGAGAATCTTCCTCTTGTTTCTTCGTCTTCCAGGAAGGTGCTTCCCCATTGGATCTTCACACAGAGGCCAGCTTCTCAAGTTTGCTTTCCCAGTCGTCCTCCTCTGCCGATCTGGGGGTTCCTCTGCCTGCAAAGAACTTGATATTTAAAGATGGCATCTTATCAGAATGGAGTGGACGGTCACCCTCCTCACTTTTTGTCGCTAATCTCCATTTGCAATAATTCGGTTTCGCCATTCATTGCCCACACTTTATGCCTTTGTTCCTTTTAACATTAGCTTTATAGTGGCAGCCACCAAGAGGCGCCCTGCTGCTGCCAAGTGGGTCCTGCGTGACTGGTGCGACATGCTGGGGGGAGGGGGCAAGTGCTTCTGACCGCGCCCTGTTCCTGCACTTCCAAATGCAACAGAGCTTCTCAGCAGCTTGCACTGTATTTTTTACCTGGAGACAATCTGCATTTCTTTTTTAAAACTAACAATATACTTTATAGGCTTTATGATGACTGTTAAGTTTATCAACAGTCACTCTGAATATTGCAGTGGTAATTTTATATGTTAGTTTATCAAACATAAATCTTGTTTAATTTTATATTTTGTTACTTAACTCTTTGGGGGGGATCCTGGGGGAGAGGTGGACCTCTTCCTCTGAAAAGGTTTCTTGGTACGTAACGTGAAACTCTTTAACAGTGAACATCCAGGATCGAGAGATGATCCGTGGGGCATTAAGAATTTCTCTGGATGTCTGTAAATTATGTATATCAGCTGAGCATTGTTGGAGGTATGTAAATCAGCATAGCTGTGTATAGTTTAGCCTTGATTTTAAGGTCTTAACTCAGAATATGATTCTACATTGACATCTCATGAAAAGCTTTGGAAAACATTCTATTTTTTAAATAATGTTTATATGTGGACTTCTTTTACCATTCTCTTTGGGCTTTATATTTTCAGAGTCTCTATGGAAAAAAACAAAATTTATTTTCCACTCATAACTGTGCCTGCTGTGCATTTCACCCAGACTCACTTTTTGTTTTGTAGCTTTACCAGTGAATTGTTCAGAGATTGAATTTTATGTTTTCAAACCAAGGATTGTGATTTTTAGGTTATGATTAGATATTAGCGGCATTAAGTCTGTATCTTCTGATCAAAACTCTTAATTATAAACCTCTTTGAAGACCTCATTACTCAATATGGGTTTTAAATTCATGTGAATAGTTTTGGGAGGAAATGATAAAATATTATTTTCACATGTTTCTTGAGTCATTGATTCTTTTAGTATCTCAAGTACTAGAATAATTGGAATCATTTTTTAGATTTTTCAATTTACCTTCCTTGGGAAGTTTGTGCAGTGTTAGCTTTTCTCATAGGATAATATGGTTTGTTAGTTTAAAACTGTAACCAAATGATCCAGTCAAACATGTATTTAAGACTTTAGAACTAAATTAACCTAAACATCTTTGCTGATAACTTTTGTTCTTTATAGAACTAATGTTTGTGTACTTAGCATACTTCTGGAAATATATATGCCTTTCTTAAAGCGGTTAAAAGAACCATGCACTCAATACCATGGCTTCCCTGTAGAATTGAAATTTTGGGGACAGGTTACTTGTGGCACGTTCAGTGCTGTGTTTGCGGTAAATGCGGTAACACTTAAGTTTTCTACTTTGGCTCATATGAAGTAGATACCAAGTGTTTATTATGTGTTTGTCTGTAAAACAAAAAAATACCAATAGTAAAATAATTTCTTATGACTGTGAATCACCCATTTATTTTTCCAATTATTGATATTGTACATTCCCAGTGCAATTGATTAGGTATGTATGTAGCTTCTACAGTTTTCAACCAAAATTTTTAACTTTCATTAATTCAATCAGGGCTCTTTAATCTCATCTTTATTTGCTTTGTTTGAGTTAACTGTATTATTCCTCTGTTAGTAGTTGAAAACATACTGTAATAACATGTACACTAATAAAGAATTGAATATTTTTAGTCGTTTGCAGTGAACCCCAGTGGCGAATTTAGGGCGTGAAATGTGGGAGTGATTTGCTGCTCTTTTTCTCTTCAGAGATAAGAAGAGAGAGATAAAACCCAGTAATGATCATGAATTTTGGGGAAAGTTACTGAAAAAACATTAGGTCATATCTGGTTTCTCTAATGACTAAGGAAAGACTGATTCCTAGCTAAAAAGCCTCTCTCTTAAGTAGAGAAAGTCTGCTTTTTATTTCGAGCTGATATGAAAGCTGCTTTTGTGCTTTGCCTGTGAATTTGGCTGTTTCATTCAGATGTTAACTCACATTAGGCCCTCTCTCCTAAATCTTAAATGTTGATCCAGTTCACAAAAGGTAAATTTAAAATACAGTCTTTATTATTTACCAAAGATGTATGAAAATGTGTTATCAATTCTTTGTGTGTGTGCAAATGTTTAAAGTATTTTCATTATACTTTGGGCTGCCTTTCCACTCCCCCAACCCCCACCTGATATTCTCTAGTGTAGCTTAAACCACAGCAAATATTTTTTAGAAACCAAGAGAAAAAAAGATATCAAAAAGGGCATAGAATTTAATATGGTACAGTTTCACCATTCAGGCGGTCAAAAGACCTGCAAGTTTAAGTCATTAAAGAATAATGCTCATCTGATTTTGTTTTAAAATATGTAATCAGATGATTTGGAGGGTTTTTGGGGGGTGGGTGTGGATTCTTTTATTTGATGTTTTTAGTTTTCTCTGCCACATATTCATGTTTCTCTTTTCAGTGTTTCAAAATACAGTTTGTATTGAGAGATTTTAACGTATCAAAACTGTAACCGAGTACAGTGGGTTGTTTTCTGTATGATGTTAATAGTATACAATGATATGTATAAAGTGTTGTCAATTTGATTGTTGACACATATACTATGTTTACAATAAACTGTGTTGTTGATCAATATACTGCTAATATGTGTCTAATCATCTCTAAGTCCCTTAATTCTAAGTTCAAGTTTTCAGTGCAATGGCTTTCTAGTATTTTTTTAAAAATTGCCCTTTTGGTTTTTTATAATAATTTCATATTTATAGCAATTTGGTTCCTTTTTTTCAGGGATTTCTTTAACACCGGAATATTTATAAGTAGTACTCCTGTGAGAAACAAATTGATTAATTTTCTAGTGTTTAAATTCTTTGATTTTTTTTTATCATTAGACTTAACACTCTCCATTAAAATACCCTTTCTAAGTAACATAGTTCAACATCTATTCCCCACTCCACTGAGATCATGTTATGCCTTTTTAAGACAGATTCACTTGTTTCTGCATTACATCTGGAATTTCTCTTGCTATTCCAGTTAATTTTTTTTTCCATACCGTAAAATTACTCTGTATGAGATTTGATAAATATAAAATCATGGATCTGCTATTCAGTGCTATAGAGAATCGTTCATAAATCATGACTCCTAATTCTTTGTCTTCAGCCTTGCACCCACTTCAATAAACACCTGTTTGCCATCCTGTTAATTTTGCTTTTTCACTTTTTTCCTAAATACCATATAAATAGTAAAATTGTGCAGTTCCTGGCCTTTTGAGTGGCTTCTTTAGCATAGCAAAGTGCATTTTAAATTCATGTATGATTCCATAGATTATATTGCTTTGCACCTGAAAACTTTGTTATGTGACTGTATCAAGGTTTGTATCTTATTTACTACTCATGTACAGGTTTATAATATAAATAGAGTCTGTTTGGTTTGAGTAAATACCAAGAAGTATTTCTGTGTCTTATAAATATATTTATACATATAGATATAAAATCTGTCTTTTGGCAATGAGAAATGACCACTCTTTTTCAAAGTAACTGCCACTTTGATTCCCATCAGCATTGAGTAACAGTTCCCAGTGTAGTGGTATCTCATTGTGGTTGAATTATTCATTTTCCTGTGCTTATTTGCTATCCGTATTTTCTTTGATAAAGTGTTCAGATCTGCTGCCCATATATTTTAAAGTGGGTGTTTACTCCTTGATATGTGCACCCACACACTCATAGCAGCAACATTCACAATAGCTAAACCGTGAAACCAGCCTAAATGCCCATTCACTCATGAGTGGATAAAGACGTGGTGGTATATGTATGCAGTGGAAAGCTGCTATGCCATTCAGAGAAGATTGAAAGCTTGCCTTTTGGAACAAAACCAGATGGAACTTGAAAGACTGTGCTAAGTGAAATAAGCTAGCAGGGGTAGTTTTGCTCATGGGGGTTATAAGGAGCAGAAGTGAATCCGTTGGCAAAACTAAATGAGGCCTGGCTGAAAACTGGGGTGGGAGAGGGTGCCAGTGAGAGGAGGGAAAGAGACAGGTGGGAGGGATAGCAGGGACAGAGGCTGCCCCTCAGGATCTATGCGGAGCTTCCTCTGGGTGCTGGGGCTCAGATTCCGAGAGCACACTGCCCAGCTGAGAGAGTGAAATGGGAAATCAGAGATGAGTTCAGGGGACCTCCTTCTTGGCCTGATCTTTGAATGACACGAGAACTCCGAGATGACCAGACACTGTGTTCCCTGGAAGAAGCGTTCTTCTTCTGCAAGTCTAAAATCTCCAGGTAAGGGGGTAGTACAGTGGGTAGGGCATTTTCCTTGCATGTAGCCCACCTGGTTTGATTCCCCCACATCCCATATGGTCCCCCAAGCACCTCCAGGAGTAATTATTGAGTGCAGAGCCAGGAGTAAGCCCTGAGCACTGCTGGGTGTACCCCCCAGCCCCCCCAAAAAGTGAAAGAGTGAAATCTCCAAATAGGCAAAACAGCTGAAAACGGTTTATGCATGTAGTAGGAAGATGAAACCTATCCAATGCCTTTCACAGACAGACCCTGCGCCCAAGGGTAAGATAGACCATGTGACTATTCAAAATGTGTACTGTGAGACCTAAGATGTGCCCACATAGACACACATCTCCGTGGGTCCTCTTGTATGCTGCTGGTGGAAAGAAGCTCTTAAGAAATTCTAAAAAGTTGAGCATTTACATTTCCTGAAATGTAGGAATTCGTCCTGCAAAAAAACCTCAAGAGCCAAGTAGCGGCACTGTTTATAACTTATTTGTAATAGCCAAAAGAGAAAAGGAGGGGGCAGTCCAAAAGTCAGTAGAAAGAAGGAATGCTTCTTACTGCCACTGTGAAACATACAAAAGTGGAAGCAGTCACCTTTTGACTGTTAGGTACTTTTAAATGATAATTTTTTACATTAAATTTTATTGATAGGTACAGTTTTCTAATATCCCCTGGAAGGTACTAATTACAATTTTCTTTTGATGTTTTCTTCTACGTTGTCTCTATTTTCTGAGTTCATTTGTTGTGTTTGTGCTTCCGATTTTTTTGAGGCTAGTGATGATAAATGTTGAGTATATGTATGATGGGAAGTAGGGGGTAGGGAGGGAGAGCTCCTCAGTATCTGGATCTGGAGGTGTTGAACTCGGTGGGTCAGTGTCAGTGACAGCGGGAAGGGGGAGTGCGGCTGTAAAGAGAGGCTCCAGAGAAGGTGTTGCCAGTTTTCTGACCAGGCTTTATCAGTTCAGCTGCCAAATTTTGGGTGTTGGGAAGGGAGGTAGCAGCATCAAAGCCTCCACCTGACTCTGGTCCTGCTCCTCATTCCATTTCACCCTGGTTCAATTTCTCCTTAGTATCTTTGCCGGAGCAGGAAGAGATGGAATTTGGGGCCCTCCATTTTCTACACTCAGCTCTCTTCTCTGCTGAATTCTTCATTGTCTGCTCTGCAAAGTCATCTGTCCATCCAACCTGTTTGCCATCTATATGTCTTTTGGTTTGGGGTTGCAATCTTCTTACTGTGGTTTTGTTTTATTTTGTTTTGTTTTGGGGTCACACCTGGCAATGCTCAGGGGTTACTCCTGACTCCACTCAGTAATTATTCCTGGTGGTGCTCAGGGACCATATTGGATGCTAAGGTAAGTGCCCTACTCACAGGACTATCTAGTCCACAGTCCTCTTAGTTTTATCAGTTGAATCCATCTGAAGAATACAAAATGGCTTTTACGTACTTGATGAAAGTATGAGGTAGGGAATGAAAAATTCTAAAGAATTTTCTCTGGAATGGGTGTTTGATTTAGCTGGGAGGTTGGGAGATGGTTTTAAGTTTTATTCCCTCATGTTGTTATAATAATAATATACTATTACTAAAATTCACTCACCATGTAGCTGGGGTAAATTATCAGGGCTAGTTACCAACTGTTCAGTTGCTACAATGGCTGGCTCATGGGTGGGTTATAGATGCAGTTTCATGATGTGTGTGTGTGTGTGTGTGAGAGAGAGAGAGAGAGAGAGAGAGAGAGAGAGAGGAGAGAGAGAGAGATTGTTCTCTGACTTATGGTGAGTGGGAATGAATGATGTAAATTCTGGGCAGAAGACTTAATTGCCAGTACGAGATCTAGGACTTGTCTTCCCCTTCTGAGAGAGTACCAGCCACACTTAATGTGGTGGGGGCTCCCTCAGCCTTAGTCCCCCATGACAACAATAAGTAGATCTCTCCCTGACCCCCACCACCCGCCATGAACTGTAATAGACAGTTGTATTGAACCCACGTAAATGTAGGGAAAGTGGAACATACACAATTATGTAGCACTGTCTGTAGTACTGTCCTCCCATTGTTCATAGATTTGTTCAAGTGGGCCCAGTAACGTCTCCATTGTAAGACTTCTTACTTTGTTTGGCATATCGAATACGTCATGGGTAACTTGCCAGGCTTTGCCGGGCTCTCCAAGAGGGGCAGAGTAATCAAACCTGGACCAACCATGTCAGCCGTGTGCAAGGGAAACGCCCTACACACTGTGCATCGCTCCAGCCCTGCCATCACTCCAGCCCACACCATTATGTAAAGTGGTTAAACAACTCATCTCAAAGTGCTTATTGACAAGCGTTATCAGGGAAATGCAAAAGCAGACAACAGTAAGGTGTCAATCTCACACCAGTGAAAATGCTATATGTTAAGAGAACCAGAAACAACCGATGTTGGGAATGCATTGCTAAAGGAACCCTCATTCACTATTGGTAGGGCTGTTACCTGGTTCAGGCTTGCTAGGAAGCAGTATGGAGAGCTCTCATAAAGGAAAGAATAGAATTTCCCTATGATTCAGTGATTCCACTCTTGGCATCTACTCCCAAACATTAATTTGTAAAGATGTATATACCTATGTTCATTGTAGTGTAATGTCCAATGACCTAAACGGCTGATGACAGATGAATGAATAAAGAAGTTGTGTGGACAGTGCCAAAAAAGGGGGGGGGGGGCGCAGAGAGAGAAAGAGAGAGAGAGAGAAGTACCTGTCATAGAGGCAGGCTGGGGTGTGGTGTGGGGGTGTTAAAAGGGAAACTAGGGACACTGGTGCTGGGAAATGTACACTGGTGGAGGGATGGATGTTGGAAAACTGACTGAAAACCCAATCATGAACTTTATCGGAAGGGTCTGTTTCAACTGATTCAATTAAAATTGTTTTTTAAAAAATGAAGGTATCTGACTATATAGAGGCTTATAAAACAAGGTACGATCTATGATATTAATTCCAAAGTAGAAAGCTACTTGTGAGTTTAGAGAAGAAAATTTTTCTGAGAATTGGAATACATATATTATTAAGAATAAAGTCGTGTGGATACGTGATGGAATGAGACACCTCTAAGAGGAGATGAAGTCATGCAGTTTGCAGCAAAGTGGAAGGACCTGGAGGGCATCATGCTAAGCAAAGTTCACCAGAGGGATAAGGACAAATCCTGGATGATCTCACGCATCGGTGGACAATAGGACAGAACAAGGGAACAGACAGTCTGAACAATGATGAACCCTTGCCCTTGCATTTCAGTGCTAACTACCAAACTTGGGGGAGATGAGGAGGGAACAACAATTGGACTCCAGGTGGCATAGCCATAGTGGGAGGGGTGTGTCAGGCAAAGTGGGTGGGGTGCAGT